AGGAGACGACAGGTCGACGAACACCACCACCCTCACACCTGGCATTCATACTCTGTCACCAACACGCCAGGGACAGTACAGTTCTGGACATCCCAACTCATGCCCAACCCATTCCAAACTTATGTTGTAATAGATTTGGAATGGATGAGGTATGAATGCGTAAGCCCTCACGGGGGCCGATGGGGGCTGGGCGACCCCGCCAGGAGGTCACGGATACGGCGGAGGTGATGATGGAGGCGGCGGAGGCGATGTGCTGCGGTTCGGGCGCAAGCGCAGAGGAGGCCAACGCCTGGATGACGGGCGCCGCAAGCAGCTGCGCTCGTAAAACATAGCCTTTGTTACTCATGGGGTGGGGTGCGCAGAGAGCAGAGAGGGTGAATGGGGCATGTCGAGCATATCATTGCGTTTCTCTCGCGTGGCAGAATTCTTTTAGGATCAGGCCTCGCGGGGCCGCCATCCTGCTCGGGCGCAGGGGCGACGAGCAATTATGGCCTCTGGCTATGGTAGATGGAAGATGGCGCCGCCACTGATGCCGGCGGCGCCACGCGCCCCTCCGTCTCCGTCCTAGAGCTTCGCGTGAGCGGTGTGCTGAAACGTCGGCGGGGGGGTGAGGCGGGATAGGAAGGGGGTAGCCACGTGAGATCTGTGCGCGGGGCATTTGCCAGGCCGTGCGACACGCTCGAGATCGATGCGGATTCGCACTGCTGGGGCTCCGACCCCAACGCGGACACAGTCGACTTCGGCGTGCTGCTACCGATTCGGAGGAGGATTCGCTTTCGCATGCCGCGGCGGGGGTAAAATCAGGGGGATGATGTCTACGGGTGGTCGGTGTCATGGCCCCCCAACCCCACCTTGTCGTTTGGCATAGGACCCCACCCACATTCAAGTAACCAATTCCGTTTCGGCCCAGGCCTCGATTCGATGACACAGTAGAGTACGAGATCTACGAAGGGAACCGCTTGACGAATTGGACGTGGGAGGGCTTTGCAGTATGATGGCGTTAACTGTGCGCGTTGGCCATGGCGAGGTTCGGCAGTGCTGATTTGTGAGTGTTGCGCCCAGCTATAGACCAACATGCGCATTCGATCGTAATGCTGTTTTATGATGAGTATACGTACATGGGGCATGCGTACACAAAACGTGCTCGCACGAGAGCTGCGATGGGGAGGACCGAGGTAGAGAAAGAGAAGCCGAGGAAGGGGCGCAAGCGCAAGTGCTGGCCAGCTGGGGCAATGCCGGTGAAAACAGATGACGTGAAAGTTAGAGAATATTCCCGCTGGGTAGACGCGCGTCGCAAGAGGGGGCGGTCGAATCCTACGCGCACCCCCTTCTATCGCGCATGTTTTGCTCTCTGTCTCTGTCCGACCGCTCTGCGCCCGTTCCTTCCCCGCCGCCCGCCACCAACCACTGCCGCCACCACGTCGCGTTGGAGTCTGCCGCCCCCAGCTGAGACGCCGCCGCAGGCCATCGCAGTGGGGCATCTGCGCCGCGTGCACCATGATGGCTGAGTGTTTGGGGGAACCCAAGTACACATGCGCGATATGTCGCCACCGTATAGAGGGCATGTACCAGCCATGCCGCGGCGATGACCCTAGCGAGAGTGACGATGGTATTTAGCTCGAGTTTGGGTAAGGGCAAAAATGTCAGCTTCTCCATGCGTGCCCCGCGCCATTGCACGCCGCCGCTTGCCCCCCCCTCCCTCACTCGCTCCATCGTCACTACCCCCCTCTGTCGCCGCCATCTTGCCGCAACTTGCAGCCGCGCGCGCGGCGCGCGGTGCCCCCCGCGGGGCCGCGCGCGGGGCGATGTCATCTAAGGAGGCGCAGGATAGGATCAGACGCCAGGCGGCAATCGACCTTGTCAAGGATGACTATGCCCACAACATCAAGCGGGCGGAAGCATGGCTGACGCACATGCGGACGGCAGGCGGGCCACCTCCAGAGGAGATTGGGCTCAGGGCCGCGAAGGATGCGGCGAAGGGGGGGGCCGCGCGAGGTGAAGGAGGAGCTCAAGCAGGCAAAGCTCGAGGAAGTAAAGAAGGAGGAAGTGGGGGGGGGATTTCTGGTTCCAAGCGGCGGAGCTGTCAGCGGAATCCTACGGCAGCGACAGTGAAGCGTGCGGTGACACTTTCATCGTTGTCGATAGCCTCGCGACGTACATGTCCAACTGGACACAAGCATCGCCATGCCTACCGTGGATGACACGGAAGCAATTGCGCAGGTGCAGGAAGACAGTGCGCACTGACGCCAAGGAGGTCGCCGCCTTCTAAACCATCTACTCTCTTCATATTCCTCCCGTCCTCGTCTGTCTGTTGCTGCTCTCTCCATCCACTTCGACGTCTCCCTCGCTATCTTTCCCTCGGCATCGCGTGGTCCCTCTGCGCTCTCGCCGTTCTCGCGCGGCACGCCCCCTGCTGCCGCTCGCGCCCAGGTCGCCGAAGTCCATGAGATGATGCAGGTGAAGGTCGAAGAAGATCAGGATCTCGAGCCAGAGGTAGAAGAAGAGCCCAAGAGCGAGGAGGAAGGCCCGCCAGGAGGTCGGGCAAGCCTGGCACAGCACCTACGGGCCGACGCCATGCGCAAAGATGCGCGCATGCGAGATCAGCCCCGGCCTCGAAGTCGCCCCCGTGCCAACGCAGCTGGGCAGCAGCAGGGCAGCCGAGAGGATGGGCCTCGGATCCCGAGAACACCTGAAAGGAAGCCTGCCAACGCCACGCTCAACACGGAGGACGAGTTCGAAGAGTTGTCCGGTGAAGACCCGTCGAAAATTCAAGGGCGGAACGCTGCGATATTGGCAGCGCGGGCAGGCGATTGGAGCAAGACGTACAAGGTGTGGTGCGGCAAGAGTGCGGTGGACCTTTCGGCGAATGGGTCTCCGTGCGTGTCATCCCGAAAGAGTTGAAGCGCACGACGCAGACGGAGATTCCGCAGCGTGCGAGGCCTGCAGCTCCGAAGCAGCGGCCGTAGTCAGCGCCGCAGAGGGACGATGGCTGGTCATGGAGCTGGAGCTCGTGGGACAAGGGCTGGACGGCATCCCACTGGTCGAGCTCGTGGCAGTAGAAGCCGAGGAGGAGGAGGTCAAGAGGCCGAGGCCATGATGCCAGGAGGCCAGGAGGAGGCCAGGAGGAGGCCAGGAGGCCGAGCAGGCCATGAGGCCGAGCAGGCCAGGAGGCCGAAGGCCACGAGACTGAGGGGCGCACTTGCCCCGCCGCGAGTGGCCCGCTGGCCACTGTGCGCGGCGGACGCGCAGCTTGCGCGCGCCGCCTCGGCGAAGCCGATTTCTCTTTCTCTTCCTGTTGTCTGTCGTCTTCTCTCTGTCTCTCTCTCTCTCTCTCTCTCTCTCTCTCTCTCTCTCTCTCTCTCTCTCTCTCACTCTCTCTCTCTCTCTCTCTCTCTCTCTCTCTCTCTCTCTCTCGCTCTGCGCCCCCTCTCTTTATTGTTGGTGTTTTTTGTTTCTCTCTCTCTCTCTCTCTCTCACTTTCCCTATGTCCCTCGCTCTTTCTCTCTCTCTCTCTCTCTCTCTCTCTCTCTCTCACTTCCCTATGTCCCTCGCTCTCTCTCTCTCTCTCTCTCTCTTCTCTCTCTCTCGTCTCTCTCTCTCTCTCTCTCTCTCTCTCTCTCTCTCTCTCTCTCTATCTCTCTCTCTCTCTCTCTCTCTCTCTCTCTCTCTCTCTCTCTCTCTCTCTATATATATATGGTCAGCCCCCCCCCCAGCACCCCGTGTGCACCCATCGCTCTCTTTCCGTTGCTCCTCCTCCTCCTCCTCCTCCTCCTCCTCCTCCTCCTCCTCATCCTACTCCTTTCCTCCTCCAAATATGAAAACGAAGAGGAAGAGGATGAGGAGGAGGAGGAGGAGGACCAGGAGGTTGAGGATTAGGATGAGGAGGAAGCCATGCTATTCACATTTTTTTTGTTTTTTTGGTCAGGGAAGCCACGAAACCTTGCTATTCACATGTTTTTTTTGGTTTTTTTGGTTTTCAGAAGCTCCACAAACTAGGCCAGGAGGTCTTATGGACGGCTGAAAACCAAAAAAACATGTGAATAGCAGCGTTTGGTGGCCACGATCCCACCAAACGCTGCTATTCACAGGTTTTTTTTGTTTTTTCTGTCTAGGAAGCCACCAAACGCTGCTATTCACATGTTTTTTTTGGTTTTTTTGGTTTTCAGAGGCTCCGCAAGCCCCCGCGGCCCCTTCTGGCCAAGCTTGTGGAGCTTCTGAAAACCAAAAAAAACCAAAAAAAAAAAATGTGAATAGCAAGGTTTCGTGGCTTCCCTGACCAAAAAACCAAAAAAACATGTGAATAGCATGGTTTGGTGGGCAGTGGTGCTTTGCAATAGAATTTCTTTGTGCGGCTTTCCAATAGAATCCCTTTGTGGCGCTTTCCAAAGGATTCCTTTTGTGAGGCTTTCCAATAGAATTCCCTTGCGATGCTTTCCGAAGGATTCCTTTTGTGAGGCTTTCCAATAGAATCCCTTTGTGATGCTTTCCAAAGGATTCCTTTTGTGAGGCTGTCCAATAGAATTCCTTCTCCTCCTCCTCCTCCTCCTCCTTCTCCTCCTCCTCCTCCTCCTCCTCCTCCTTCTCCTCCTCCTCTCACTCCTCCTCCGTCTGTTCTTCCTCTTCCTGCGCGCAAGTGCGCGCTGGCGAAGCGCGCGATAGCGCCCGCGCGCAGCTGAAGATGATGATGTTCAGCTCACTTCACTACGATCGCAAACAATATGCGGATCCGCGCGCATTTCGCCTGGGCATTGCCATATCATTCGCCCGACAGATCGCAACGCGGGTGGCATCTATATGAAGAGGGGCAATGTGAACACACCTCTGGTCTCAAGAACTAACTCGGCCCAAGCGAAATAGACAACAAGCGCAAACGCGCGCCGCACGCCTGGCCACTCTCACTCCGAACGCCAAGCCTGTCGCCACTAGATCACTCCGCCTGGCCACCTGGCTGCTCCTGCGCGCCGATCTCCAAGCGGGATCGGCTGCGTCAGCGAGAGAGCTCACTGAGCGTGGTCCTTGGCCCACGCGTCGCGGAGCATCTGGCCAGTAGCGAGCCAGAGATCGCTGCCGCGGTTCCAGTACGTCCACTGGAAGGAGCGCACCTTGCATAGGCCAGAGAGCGAGCAGCAACTGCGCATGTCGCGCTGGGCCGCCTCTCCAAACCTCAGCGCATGCCACCCGCCAACCTTTCCCGCGCCGGGCAACACCTCCCACCCCCCTGGGCGGCGTTCAGCTGCACTGAAGATTGAGGAGACAGCGCCTACGCAAACAAACGCGTTGCACGTCGTTCATCTGGCCTGCCTTGTTGCGGAGAAGGACAGACCCCACCGTCTTCGCAATGCCCTTGCCGACCGCCTTGCCCGCTGGGCTTGCTCTGGTCAGGGACGTCGTGGTAGCGGATCTTCGTGAATGCCGGCTTCAGCCACACCCACTTCCCGCCAACCCGCGCCCTTTTCTTCTTGTGCACGACCCAGTCGTGCAAGACGCCATCGACTTTCATCTTGTAGGACCTCGCCCCGTCCGTGTGGAGGATGACGCGGCGGTGCTTTAGCCACTTGGACGCCATGGGCGCCCAATCCCTCTTCCGAATCGGGCCAGGGCCAGGCGCCCTACGCTTGGCCTTCTCTGGCTTCAACCTGAAGAGGACCAAGGACCTGGGGTGCCCCCGCTGCACGATGCCGCCCCACTGCTCCCAGATGATGGGCTTCTGCGTGCGGGGGCCAGCGTTCGGGTCCTCGCCCTTCGCCACGTCGACCTCGTCCGCCTCCACGTCCGCCCACTCGAGCGCGTTGCCGTCCTGGTCATGGCCAAAGGAGATGTTCCTCTCGTGGGAGTTGACGTACTTGGCGCGGGCTGCATACAGCGCAGAGTAAATGCCCTCTGTCATCTTGTGGTTGTTCTTCAACAAGAGGCGGGCGGACGTCTGCGAGCACTGGGCCACGGCGCAGAACAGCACGGCGGCCTGGTCCGCCAAGCGCCCCCCCGACGACCCCGTGCCGCATTTGAAGATAGGGTGGAAGGCGTGCGGCATGAGGAAGCGTCGGCAGCAGTCGCTCGAGCATTTGTGGGTCCACCCGCCCTTCTTCTTGCCATGGTCCTTCAAGGGGCCCAGCTTGCCGATCTGGCAGTAGGGGCACTTCGCGCCCTTCCACTCAGGCAAGACCTTGTCCTTCTTCAAGCGGTCGATCACCTGCTTGGTCGTCGCGTTCACGAAGTCCTTCAAGCACCGAGCCCATGCTGCCCTGTCGAGGCGCGACCTGACCGAGGAAGACCCGTGGCGCGTGTATGGGGCGTTCTTCGGTTTGCGCAGGAGTGAGCTCTTCTTCACCTTCTTCATGGGCACGGGCCGCATGGCCATGCGAGCCTTTCCGCGCTTGGCGACTGGCCATGGCTTACCCATGGGCGACGCGCGCGGGGTGGCGGCCGCCTGGCTGCCGACGGGGCTGGCGGGCGGGCTCGGTGGCTTTCTCACATTTGAGCCAAGAACGACAGGGTTCGAATCGACCGAGTGGTGGCAGTGGAAGACGGCAGGTTGAAGACTACACGTGCGATCGCCCACAGAACCCGCTGAGGATGATGCTGTTTCGCACAGTTCACAACCGTCGTAAACAATATGCGTATCCGCGCACATTTCGCATGGGCATTCCTATGTCACTCGCCCAACATATCGCAACGCGGAAGGCATCTACATCTGGAAAGCGAACAAGCATATACATCAATGCATTCATATCAGCTCGCTCCAGCCGTCATAAACAACATGCGTCGCCGCGCACCTTTCGCCTGTGCGTTCCCGCGTCACTTGCCAGGCCAGCTACCGCTGGATCAGTCCGTCTGGTCACCCAGAAGCTGGCTCGCGCCGCCAACGCGCTCCGCCTCGATGTCATCGAGGAGCGTCTCCATTTCGGCATCCAAGTCGACGCCATCGTCGTCCACCACGAGGGTCTCGCCGTGTGCCTGCGCCACAATGGATGCGAAAATCGCCTGCTGCTCCTGGATGTCCACGGGGGAGAGCGGCCCGCCGCAGGCCAGACCCGTCTTCCTGGTCTTCCGCGGCGGAGTTACCAGGTTCTCGTGCGCGCCGTGGTGGGCCTTGGCTAGGCTGCGAAAGATCGCCACCTGCTCCCGATGGTCCTCATCCGAGAGCGCACCGTGGCAGCCGACGATCGGGGGCTGCTTGGCGGGCGCGGGGTCCGCGGGCGCAGCCGCGCCACTCGGCGCCCCCCCGTCGCCGCTCGATCCAGGAGCAGCACCCGCCTGCCACGGCACCATCATGAGCGTGTCGGCCTCGGCGTTGATGATCTCCTTCACGCGGACGTCCCGCGCGGCCGTCAGCTGTCTGGGGGGCGTCGGCTCGGGCTCCCCCATGCCGCCGCCGAAGCCGAACACGTCCTCCTCGTCCGCGGAGACGGCCCGCGCGTCGGCGCCGCCGCCGCCGCGGTCGGACATCCCGCCGTCGTTGGGCGCGGTCTCCACGCCGCCCGCCACGCCTGCCTCCCGCGGCGCCGCGGCACCGGCTGGGGCGCTGCTCGCGGCGGCGGCGCCATCGGCGCCGTCCCCGCCACCGTCGCCCGCGCCCGCTGCTGCGCGCGACTCGGCCATGAGCTGGAGCACCTCCTTCTTCTCAAAGGCGAGGAGCCTGTCGTACTCCTCCTGGTCGCGGCGCTTCTTGTGCCTGAGGAACCGCATCAAGATCTTGCCCGCCTCGGCCGTGATGTAGCTGCTCATGAGGGGCAACTTCTCAACGACCGAGTCCTTGCCAGCGGGCCTGAAGAAGAACGAGTGCTGCGTGTTCAGGGCGACGTTGCACCGCTTGAGCATGGCCCCTAAGTTGCTCTCGGACATACCCTTAGGGAAGGCGGGCCGAATCATGTCCACCAAGATGGCAGTGGTCCGCTTTGCAGCATCGGGCGACGTCGCCGCGAGCCCCCACTCCTCGCCATTTGGTTCAGCGCTGGCATTGTATTCGTTGTCACCGCCAAACCTGGGCAAGACGAAGCGCGGGGCCGACCGACGCGCAGGATTCGCTTCCCTGGGAAAAGCCAACAAAATCTGACAGCCAAACTCGAGAAACCTGGCTGGCCCCGACGCTTCGACTTCGCCAGCCGCCTCGCTTGGCCGCGCACGAACTTCGCGGCCCCCCAGCGCACGTAGGTCATGGCCTCAGCCTGCGTGGGGTCAAAGAAGGCCTTGAGGACGCGAGGCCGCTGATCTGCGAGGTCGCCGTCATCGAAGATGCAGGGCGCCCAGGGCTCCCCGACCTCCCCGCGGAAGAAGTCCATCTCTGCGGATACCCGAACAGCAGCCTTGGCACGACCTGGGTGGCGTTCATTAGCGACGTCTGCATTGTGCCTCGCAGTCGCCATGGCACAGATGTACATGAAGGGTGTCTTCCCGAAGCCAGCCTCCCCGATCGTAAGCAGCGTGTTCCCCATCAGCGTCTTCAAGATCCTGTTCGTCATCGGCTGGTACTCCTTGCGGATGTCTGGCTTCAGGAGCGGGTAGTAGTCCTCCTTGGTCGCGAAATGGTCGCGGTCCGCGATGCACTTCATCAAGCTGTTCACGAACTCCCGCTTCATGTTGTAGATGGGGGAGTCAGGGTCCACGTATTGGTGCTCCAACCACAGGACCCTCTGGCCGTCGAAATTTCCGCGGGGGGCCTCCGCCTGCACGAAATCCCACGCTCTGTCGAGGGCGGCCTTCTTCTCCGCGACCTCGCCAGCGTCGATGTCCGCAACTGCCTTAGGCTTCGGCAGCCCCCAATAGCGGAACAACAACCCACCCATCGCCTCCAATGCCACCTGCATCGTCCGCACAGTGTTGAAGGTGTCGGGGCGGTAGTCCAAGACGCACGGGTCGCCCTCGACGATCTTCTCGAGGATTGCCGCCATCGGCTCTCCGCCGCCGAGGAACGTGAACACCTTCACCACCAAGTAGCCGTCGTCAGGCATGGACTTGGACACGTGCATGCTCATCACGCAGGGGATCTCGTTCTGGCCAGCATCGGAAATTCCCAATGGCGGGGGCAAGGCGTTGTACCGACCCTCGGCCATGGCCTCTTTGACAACATCCCAGTTGACGCCCGAGAGGTCGCCGCAATTCGCGATGACGTCGATGAAGCCCTTGATGGGGCGCCGCGCGGAATAGCGCCACTGCTTGATGGGGAGGTCCCAGACGACGGCAGTACCAGCCTTGTCAACGTTCCCCACAACGTCGGGCTTCGCAAGGACCTCGAGAACGGGCATGGTCTTCGCCTTGTCCCAGGCTGCCACCATCACGTCGTTGGTGTGCCCCTCTTTTCCCATGGACACCCCGAAAGACTTCATGCCGCAGGCGGGCAGGTTGGCGGCCTCCATCGGAAATGCCCTCGGCATCGCGGACGGCGCGGAGGTGCGCGAGGTGGCGAGCGAGCGAGGCGACTGATGTTTGAGCCTAAACGTGCGCGGCATTACTGGCGGGGGGGAAAGCGAGAGGGGGAAGGGGGGCTGCATTCGGGGCGATCGCAAGCAGGGCGAAAAGAGTGGGAAACGCCTGGCCGCCAGAAGAAATGGATTCACAATCGCTTCAAAATCACAGCTTTTCATGCCGAACTCCGAGCAGGTGCGCTTCAAACTTTCATCACATAACCAATATATAAATCTGCAGGGCAAACGCCATGCCCTCACACCCCGCCCGCGCCTCAGAGACGGCGGCGCGCCGACGCGCGCAGGCCGAACGACGGGCCCACGTGCATTCGGTTGGAGGGCTGGTCGCCGTCGGCATCGAACAGCACATCGCGGTGGCGGGGCAACGAGAGCGACGCCATCACCATCCTCTCCATGAACCCCCAGGTTGTCGACCACGGCACCTCCGCCGTATGGGTCCATCCTGGGAAATCGCGGCACGTGAACGTCACAATGCACGCGCGGTCCTCAGTACCCACCGCAGGGCGACATCGCGCATCGCAGACGTGCCAGCCACTATCCGCTGCAGATCGATCGGGCCGATCGCAACGAGCATCGTCGATCTGCAACTGACCGCGCCTGACCGATGTGGCAGATCGCAGACGGGGAAAGATCTCGCGATCGCGGCTGGCGAGGCGAGCGCGCGATCGTCGTGGCCGATGCAAGTGGCCACAACCTCGGCGTACATGTACGGGCGGACGATCACATAATCGAACGCGGGATCGTTCGACTCCCACAAATTGCCGTGGAAGCCGGGAGCAAAGAACTGGTTGCCGCTGTCCCGCACTTCAATGTTCGCGGGCCACACGCACACGTTGAACCGATCCTGGGGCAAAAGCAAAGGTGCTTCCTCATTGCCGAAATCAGGAGATGGTCGGTGGCGGGAGAGGGGCCATCCAAAAACTTAGTTACCCCCCGCCCTCAAGTCCTCCCCATCAGCCAAGCGCTGAGCCTGCGTGCGCCCCACCCTGCGCCGCGCCGCGTCTGGCGGCAAGACGTGGCCAACGTGGCCAGGCATGGCGCGCGGCACGAAGGCGCACTCGAAAGCCATGGGTAGAAGACTACCGCGGAGAACTTTGAGGGGGTTTGAGCACCCTGCGGAGGCCTGAGCGCTAGCGGCAACGGGAGGCACCAGCAGAAGCAGCAGCAGCTCTTTCTCTCTCTCTCTCTCTCTCTCTCTCTCTTTCTCTCTCTCTCGCTCTCTGTGTTTTTATGTGGCTACAAGGGCATCCATTTTTTGGATGCCCTCATTCTTGCAGGGGGGCTCTGCTGGTTTCTGTACGCCGCCGCTGGCGTGCCGTTCCTGCGCTCTGTCGCTGCTTCTGTCTGCCTTGTAACATGAGCAGCGCCGTCAGCGCCAGACGCACCAGCTGCAGCACCGCCATCAGCAACAGCACCAACAGCATCGCCGCCAGGATCACAAGCTGCACCATCAGCACCGACAGCGCCACCAGCAGCACCACCACCAGCAACAGCACCATCAGCAGCACCGTCAGGATCACAATTGCTTCGGTGACGTTTGAAACATTATGCGGCATGGTTTGCGGCATACTTGTTTCCCACACTCATTTCTGGCTGCGTAATTAATCACGTGCAACTGAAAAGTGGCTTTTTCAGAGGCGGAGGTGGGAACCCATTTTTTGGGTTCCCGTGTTTTTCCTCCCTTGAGCCCGCACATAAAAATCCTCATCTCTATTCCTCTGCCTCTCTCCTGCCCCCTTCCCCCGCCCCGCTCTCTCGCCCGCCCGGTTCGTCTTGGAGCGGTCTCCGAAGCTCCTTGAGCCGTCTTGGCGTGGTCTGGCGGAGGGGGGCGGTGGCCTCGCCGGTCGTCTCGGGATTCCCTGGAAGGGGCATCCAAAACAGGATGCCCCTCTCGCCTTCACTAGGTCTGGCCCCAGCAGCGGTCTTTTGAGTTGTGCTCGTTTTCTCGCCTTGCAACCGAATTCGGCATTAGCGGCGGCAGCCAGCCTACTGGTCGCCGAAGCACCCGTCACGGGTGCTCCTCCGAGCCTTCTTCGCGAGCTCGAAGTACTTCTCCCGCTGCGCGACCGTGGCCAGAGCGATGAAGCGGCACTTCTCCGACAAGAGGTTGTTGTACTTAGCCTGACAATTCGGAGAAGAACGCTTGACCTTGGATGGGGGCGCACATTGAAAGCCGACGGACTTGGCCACGCCCTCCCAGGAGCGCGCCTGGGCGAGCGCCGAAGTTCGTCGGCGTTCAACGGTGCGATTGTTCCAAAGCCAAGCCTGCTTCTCAGAAAGGGCTTGCTCAAGGCGCTTGCGCTCCTTCGCCCCCTCCTGCGTGGCCGCGGCCGCGCCCTCCGCCTTGCCCTGGGCTCTGGCCTTCTGCGCCTGCCGCCTTTTTCGGCGAGGCGCCGAAAGGAAGGCGAGCGGGGCAAGAGCTGGCCCGCTGGGAAAACCGCTTCCGAGGGGTCGCGTGGAGGACCTCCAAGAGGCCCAAAGACGACCCTCGCAGGCAGCGCTTTTTTTTCAAAAGCTCGCTTCCTGGTTGTCTAGAAGGCCAGCCCTTGCTCGCTTCCTTCAGGCGCGCCGTCGTGCCTCAAGCGCGCCGTTTCCTCGACCAGGTGCTCCAGCTTGTCGTTCTTGCTCTTGGCCTTCTGGAAAGCCTTCTGGTTGTTCTCGGCTGCGCGCTGGTTGTTCTCGGCTGCGCGCTGGGTGGGGGTTCTGTTGTGCATTGTATTGTTGTTGGTGGTGTTGCTGTTGTTTGGTGGTGTGTGTGTGTGTTTAATGATGTGGTTGCGCTATTGCGCGTTGCTAATGGATTACGGTTGTCGTCCGTTGGTGACGTGGTGTATTGGGCGGTACAACGTCGTTGTTCGCCTGTTACGTTGCTGTGGCTATGCGCCTAAGGGCCAAGGAAGTGTTTTAAGTCCACCCCGACACCTGGGCCACGAAGACATCGCGACGCATGTTGAAAAGGTCCTTGCGCTGGCGCTTGACCTGTTGAGCGAGGGCGGCCTTCTCGCCCCGCAAAGCTGCGCACGTCTTGTGATACTTCCGCAGGTGTCTCTGCGCAGCCTCCCTCAGGTACTGCTTGACCCACGGCTTGGCGATCCAGTTCTTCAAGGACTTGGCGCGCTTGCGATCACGACACCTGTCGGTTTTAGTCTTCACGGCCTTCGCTGATGCAGCTGGCATGGCGTGCTGTGGCGGCAGCGCTGGGGAGAGAAGTAGCAAACAAAAACCAACCACTCGATTCATAACAAACTACGGATGGTTGCACCCAGTTAGGCTGAGGCGGAGGAGGGAGAGGAATATGAGGATGAGGAGGCGGACAAGGAAACTGAGGAGGGAGGAGGGTGAGGGGTAGGAGGAGGATGAGAAAGAAGAGGATGAAGAGGAGTAGGAGGAGGAGGACGAGCAGGATGATGAGGATGACGAGGGTGAGAATGAAGAGGGTAACTAAGAAGATGAGGATGAGGAGGATGAGGAAGAGGAGGAGGAGGAGGAGGATGAAGAATATGATGCGGCTGATGAGGAAGATGAGGAATATGAGGGCGCGGAGGAAGAAGAGGATGATGAGGATAATAATGATGATGAGGATGATGACAATGATGATGACGATGAGGAAGAATAGGATGATGATGATCAGGAGGCGGACAAGTAAAAGGAGGAGGGCGGATGATGAGGGGTAGGAGTAAGAGAAGGAAGATGATGATGATGATGATGATGATGATGATGATGTGCAGGACCAGGAAAAAGAGAGTGAGAAGGATGGGTTGGAGGAGCAGGAGGAGGAGGAGGAGGAGGAGGAGCAATGAGCAATGAGCAATGCGCGGAGAGTCCAAATACGTTACTCAAGCCTCACATCATAGAAGTGGCAGCGCACTCTGCGCGACCCAACTTCGAGGGCAGCGGACTCTGCGCGACCCCCCTGGCAGGACCAGCACTGCTCCCGAACGACGGCGAATCTCGAGCACCGCGCAGGCGCGTAAGAGGATGCGGGAGGAGGACGAGGAGGAGGATCATCGGAATTATCGCGGGACGGGGTGCTTGGGGGGGGGGGCTGAGCATATATATATATATATATATGTATGTATATATATATATATGTATATATGTATATACACACATTTATCCCGTGCTATCGCTCTTTCTCTCTCTCTCTCTCTCTCTTTATCTTCTGGTCCCTCGTTCGTTGTTCGGGTGGTGTCTATTCCTCTCGGGTCACCCTCGCTCGAGCTCTCGCCTCGCTTGTTTTTCATATGTATACATATATATATATATATATATATATATCGTGGTTAGTTCTCACGCACAACAGCCCATTTGTATGTTCTTGGTGCTTGGATTCCATTCGTGTGTAAACCAATGTTGCGATCAATCGACGTGCGATCGATGTGGGGGGAATGTGACATGGGGGGCCCACCGATCCATCGTCCCGCTGTGCCCTCGAGGACTCGCCGCGTCGAACGTTTCGATCGAGCCCTTGCAATCCTGCCCCGCGGCTTCGCCGCTCCGCCCCGCGCGCCCCCTCAGAATTTCCCTCGGCGCACGTCGCGCCACGCGTTCGCGGGGGGGGGGGGGGGGGGGGGGGGCGAAACTCAATGCCCTCGAGCCCGCCCCGTCGAGCCCCGACGAAATCACCCCCCCCTCGTCGTGCGTTGTATCGATCGCACGCGCGACCGTTTTCAGGAAAGCGTGGTCGGCTGCGTCCGCGCCCATAGGGCCGACGTGCGCGCGCGAAAATTTCGGATGACACATCCCGCGCGCACGCGACGCACGCATGCACATAATAGGTCAAGCACACACAAACATATATATATATATATGTATATGTATGTATACATTTATATACATAGATACATGTAACATAAACCATGTAAAACCGATCCGGAACAAAAACCGATCCGGTAACACCGATCCAAGATAAACCGATCCGGTGAAACTGCAGAAATCATGAGCAGGCTTCTTGGATCCGCAGCACGGATCCTGAGGACCTCTGGGGGGAGACGTCGCGGCCCCGGCAGCTCAGCCGACGGCCAGCGCGCCCCCCTCTTCCTGCCCCGTTTGCGCTGGGGCCCCAGTGGCAGATCTACCCAATTCTAACGCGCCGCAGACCGCAGACGGAGAACCGGCGCGCAAAACTCCCAGGACCAGCGAACAGCGCAGCCCAGGCGCACCCCGACGGTGGCGCGGACAAGGCACGGCGGAAAGTACTCCGCCCTGGAGATGGGGGCCGGCGCCGCGTCGCCCGCCCCCATGTCGCACTGCCCGCGCCTCTGTCGGACAACAATGGCGGTTTCCAATGCGAGGAAAGGCGCCAGGTGACCCGGTGCCCGACCTGGAACCAGCAAGGCCAACGCAAGGGAGGATTGGAGGGTGGTGATCAGCCGCCTCACGCAAGAATGTGGCGCCGTGGAATGCCATCTGCGGCTGGCAGTCTGGACCCCGCTCCGCCAAAGACCCCGGGCGTCACACCTTTGTATTATGCCGAAGTTCCGCGCGGAACCGCAGCGAGGTCAGTTGCGACGTGCGCAGATCTGTTGGAAGAAAGGCATGCAAGTGGATTCGCGCGCTGGGTGGCGTCGCGAACTTGACAAGCGGAGGCAAAGCGCTGAGCTCGCGAAAGGCACAGGGAAGGGCGCCCCGCCGCGCGGGAAAGGGACGCGGCCGGCGGACCCGTCGCGGCCCAGCAACGACCCTTCCCGCCAGGGCGGGGCAGAGCCGCCGCTGGTAGCGTCCAGCCAGTCCTTTTCACCTTGTCCTGAGCTTGACATCCCCGCCCTGGCAGTGGCCTCTCTGTCCGCTGCCCCCCCCTCGTGGCTTTCCCGCGTCGCGCTCCTTTTCGGCGCCCCTCTGCCGGCCCCCGGCCTTCGCTCGGGGCCTGCCCGCCGCCCTCGCCCCCCTGCCCTTGAGGGCATTTTTCATCGCGCACCTGTTCGGCCTCCACTTCGCGGGCGGTGGCGCATAGGAGCTTATAACCCATGCTTATAAGGCACCCATCTCAGCTTGCAAGTCATGTAAGCGAACCATATAAGTGGCCTAAGCAAATCTAGCCAGACTATAAGCCACGCGTGGTTTATGTGTAGGATATCCTGCATATATTCAAAATGTAACTGGCATTATGCATCTAGGCCAAAGGCCCGCATCTGGACTTTTAATCAATTACGAATCAGTTAGCTTTTGTTGCCAAGATCGAGTAGCGGTTTCTGGTCCACGGCGCCCCACCACCCGAGCCACTTACGATCACTTAGCTTTCACGGCGAAAAACGCTACATGAAAACCCGTGGCCTGACAGACGCGGTTTGCATCGCGATCATCATAGCGATGGCGATGATCGGAGGCTCGCCCCGATCATCATCATCATACTTCCCCTCGCGCATCGGAGGCTCGCCCCGATCTACGGCCGAGACGCGGGACATCGTTGTCGTCGTCGTCGCCGCCGCCGTCGCCGCCGCCAACGCCAACGTCGCCGTCGTCTCCGTCGCCGCGGGAGGAGGCCACGCGGTCGCGACGCTACCATATAGCGCGTTGGGCGTGCTGCACTAGAACCCTATGACTGGATGTTACAACTTGCTTGTCTCGGGTTTATCGAACCAGCCACGGGCCTGCCAAGTGCGCAACCGTCGCAGTTGTCTCTCTCGCAGGGGCGGAGCTTTCCGAGCGACATATGGGAATGACGGCTCAATACGGCTCAAGATGGCCTCTAAGATGGCTACGTTGGCCCAAGATGGCCTCCAAGATGGCCTCCGAGTCCGCCCAAGATGGTCCAAGATGGCGCCCAAGATGGCCCGCGAGAGAGTCCAAGATGCCTTCAAGTTCGCCCGCGAAGCCTCCAAGACGGCTCAAGATGGCCCCAAGATGGCCTAAGACTGCCCAAGAGGCCCCCAAGAGGCCCCCACGCGGTATACAGACATTCTGGCTCAAGTTTTCGGGCGCCACCGCCCGCGCCGTCGCCGACGGCCAACCCGACGGCCAACCCGACGCCGAACCCGACGGCCATCCCGACGCCCAACCCGACGCTGAACCCGATGGCGACTGGCCCGCACCACGGCGTGCACTACCTTATGATCAACAGGGAGACGAGGATGAAGTGCTGGTTCTACTTGTCGCACCTTGACATGTGGGCGCCGCTCTACGCGCCGATCTCGGGCGACGACCCGCGGCCGCAGTTCCCTAAGCTCAAGGACTGCAAGGCGGAGCTCATCCAGGACATCCTGGGCAACAACGTCTCCGATACCAAGGTGAAGCTGTACCGATGCGAGCTGACGAACAGGCACCCAGAGACCTGGGGCGGCGAGTTGGACCAGGAGTGGTTCGTGAACGAGAAGTGAGGCCTCTACGTCGACGCGGGTCTCGAGAGCGGCCTGCGCCAGTGCGACTTCGAGATGAACGAGCGCCAGAACCAGTGCGAGAAGGACAACTACACGAAGGCCGGCAACTACAAGGTGGCCTACAACTACGACGACAGCTGGGAGTGCGGCTACAAGAACGGCGACGACGACGGCTGGCAGAGTGGCTACAAGATGTGCCGCGCCATGGAGCACAAATCGACCAGCGCTGGCAGCTCGAACATCAAGATCCCCGTCTCGCCACTGGTGTCGGTGCAGGCCCCTGAAGAAAAAGATCCTGCAGGCGGCTCGGCTTCCAGCTGGCTGGAGGTCGACAGGGGCGCGGAGGACCCGAAGTAGGACGTCCGACGGCCTACCTGACGGCCATCAGCTCGGCCTACCCGACGGCCTACCCGACGGCCGTCAGCTCGGCGTACTCGACGGCCTACCCCGACGTCCTGAACCCGACGGCCTACCCGATACGAGCCCCGACGGCCTGAACCCGACGGCCGACCCTTCGCCGACTCGGCGCGATTGAAAAAATGGTAAAGCCCCGAAGTCCCCAGAGGCCCTCAAGAGGCCCTCAAGACGCCCCAAAAAAACGCTTGTATTCAAGTGGCTTACGCCGTTCCGCCGACCCCCCCCCCCGTTTCGTCATCATGATCATCGCCGTCGTAATCACCATCACCATCATCATCGTCATCATAAAAAAAAACACCATCATCGTCACATGGCGTTTTCGAAAACCGTCCGAAACGTCGGTTATTTGATGGGGTCGGGGGCCTAGGCCCCCGCCCCCTCGAAGAACCGCGGCCCGCGGGGAGGGGGGGATGAGAAGAGGGCGGAGGAGGGGGGACAGTGCGGAAAAGGGGGAGGGCAAGCATTTTTCTCATCGCAAACCCTGCGCGGCGGCGAGCCTACCGCGCAGGAAGGACGCACGGGGGACTTTGAAGCATGCTAGCGATCGAGATCGATCGCTGAACCCCACCTGCCTAGGTTCGCGCCCTAGGAAGCGCACCCCGTCCACGGCAGCTCACTTGCCGTAATTGACGTGCTCCAAGAGCATGCCCCAAGCCTCCTTGGCCGTGTAGGCCTTGGCGTTCCAGTGGAAGCCGTGGTCCGCGCGCGCCCCCTCTTTCTTGACGCGCCACTTGCCCTTGCTGAGGCTCGCGCAGATGGTCCAGCCGTTGGGAAGGCACTTCGTCGCCGCCGGGCCCTTCGGGGCCCCTGGGAACTTCAGGCTCGGGGCGGCCTCCGTCTTCTTGGCAACCTTCGGGGGGGCGGTCGACGCAGAAGCTGCTGGCCTCTTCATCGCCGCGGAAGGCCTCTTCTTGGCCACCGTCGTCTTCTTCTTCTTGTCAATGCCCTTCTTGAGCTCGTCCCCCATGTACTTCGTGAGGCCGCCCACGTCACCCGCGGGAGGCTCGGGCGCCGACTCGTCCAGGGCCGCTCCGCCGTCAGCAGGTGGCTCGACGTCGCGCGCGTCCACCGATCCGTCGGCGATGGCCGCCACCGCTCCGCCTGCTGGAGCGGCGGCGGCGCCCCCCGCGGGGGCGTCCTCCAACGGCAGCTGCAACGGCGACGGGAAGATCTGGAGGTTGCGGAGCATACCGTCGTTCGCTCGGCCGCCGAACTGGCCCGTCATCATCGCCTGCAGCATCTGCATCATGTTGTTCTCCATGCTGTACGTGGGGCTCACGGCCGCGCGGCGCGGAGGGGTGACCACCGACGTGTGGGTGCGACGAGCGGGCATGGAGACCCTGCCGAAAGAATGGACCCAAGGCCCAGCGCTCGCCGCCCCCGTTGAAGAATTCACCCCACCCAAAGCTTCATCAACACACGCCCCCCGACAACCTATGTAGATAACATCGGGGAGGGGAGGGGCTGCGAGGCGACTGGTTTGGGCACATTGCGCCTCAACTGCATCAAGACGTTCTCGTCCACCATGTTGCCCACGGGAGCTGCGAACTGGTAGGCGTGGTCGTGCAAGCCCTGGTGCAAGGTGCGGAGCGTCGCAGGCGTGTCGGGGTACACGGTGACCACGCCGTAGTGGGGCAGTCGAACACGGGAACGCTTGCGCCTCATGCACGCCTGCATGTCGCCGAGCAGGCCCAGCGCGTTGTGGCCATTAATCGCGTGATGTGCCTCCCCAGCGCCCGCCTGTGAAGCGGTCACGATCACAGCGACCCAATGGACGTGCGTGATCTCCGATGGGTACACGCAGCCCAGGGCCTCCGCGCGGTCGACGATGGTCTCGATCTTGTCCTGGGCGGGCCTGGTCGTGCTCCTGAGGCATTCCCAGTCGGCTTCCGTCAGCATGCGCTGGATGAAGAAGTGCGTCTGCATGATCGTAGGCGGCGGAGTGCCGCGCGCCCGATGGGGGCCCACGCGCGCGTTCACCAGGCTGACAAACTCCTGGATGGCGAAGCGGGAGGGGGGGCGACGCGGAGTGATCAGGCTAGCGAGGGCGAGGCGAGCGATGAGGAGGGCGGGTCATATCGAGGATTATGAGACGGAGGAGGAGGAGGGGGAGGAGGAGGGGGAGGAGGATGGCCGTTTTGGCCGCAAGGCGTCCTGGAGCATCGTGGCAGGGAAATCGCTGTTGGTCAGGGCGTCGATGCAGGCCGTCGACGTCTGGATGTCCACTTGGGGGTTGCGCGAGATGCCGTCGAGGATCGATTGGCGACCCGCCTCGAGCATCGCCCTGAACGCGTCGGCCGTGATCGCCCCGACCCCGCCAGCAGCCGTGACGTTGGCCCTCAAGTAGGCGACGGCGTCGGCAAGGACTCGGTCCAACGTGGCCATCGCTACGCCCAAGCTCTGCGGCGAGGACGGGTCGGGGGCCACTCGATCGCGACGCGCACCTTGGGCCTAAGTAGCTACTCGCAGCTCGGGGGGGCGGGCGGGAGGTGGGAGGGGGTGGGGGGGGGGGGGGACGAGCGGGCGGGATGAAGACGGTGCCTAGCCGCGGGATCGGGGCGAGCCTCCGAGCGGCCAGGGCAGTGGGGAAGAGGCAGATGATGTTGCCCCGAGGCCGCGCCAGAAAGTCATGCGGTTCCCAGCTCGCGCGGCAATGCATTATGAAAAACGTGATGCCCATCGTGGTCTGGTTATAGACCAACTCAACTCTAATCATCGATTACGATGATCACCCTAGTCTCACTGCCGCGCGAGCGCACACTGCGACCAGCCTTCGGGTCGTTGTCGACGCGGGCCGCCGCGCCCCCCGTCTGGCTGGACTTGGCCTTCCGAACCTGGGCTGGCAGCCCGGCCGTCGTCGCGGCCCTCTTCTGCCCTCTTTCCATCGCTCTCTGGCCCCGCAGCTTCGAGCAATGGAGAGGGCAGCTTCAAGACAGTCAATGGATAGGACAGCAGCCCTCTTGACCGTCTTGAAGCTGTCCTCTCCACTGCTCGTGCAAACATCCCACCCTCCCACCCGCAACTTGGCCGCAATACCTCTTCAGACAAGACCGTGACGGTAGGTACCACATGTCACTTGGCCACGACACCGACGCCGACGACGACAGGTGCAATCCACTTGGGCTGTCTTGAAGCTGTCCTCTCCATTGCTTCGTGCAAGCATCCCACAGCCCTCCCTTGGGCAGTCTTGGGCGCATTTGAGCCGCCGTGGAGACATATTGGGGCAATGTTGGGCCCTCTCGGGGCACCTTGGCCGTCTTGGAGGCATATTGTAAGCCATCTTGGGATATATTGGCCGCCTCGGCTGGGGTCACATTGAAGCCACCTTGGGGCCGCATTTGGGGCGGGGGCATCTTAGGGCTGGGGCCCCAGGCATTCCAAGTGAAGTATTCGTCTCTCTCTCTCTCTCTCTCTCTCTCTCTCCCGTTGTATATATACATATATATACATATATATATATATATACACATACATGCATACATATCTCTCTCACTCTCTTCCCCTCCCCCTCTCCCTCTCTCCCTCTCGTTGTCTTTTACATGTGTCCCGTGTCAACCTCAAGGGGCGGGGGGGGGATGGGGCAGGACGAGGGGGAGGCATGATTTTTCAAGCGCATAGCGTGAGTGGTTGGAGAGCCCCAGCTCTCACCTGCCTTGTAAGCAAAACTCAATCGAATCGCAACTTGAAAACTTCGGCTGGCTCAGCCCAGAGGTTCGGGGACGGGCCGCGCCGCCGGCATCGGCGCCGCGAGTGGCCCCGCCCTACCCCACCGTGGATTCCTGAGTCTTTGCATCCAGCGCCCACTGGATCAGGGAAGCCATCTGGCCGCCGAGGGCAATGGCGGCATCTGCCTTCTTCGTGGCATCGTCGATGTAGGCCGTCGCATCACCCTTCGTCGCTCCGTCGGCATCCTTCAGGCCCTTCCCCGCCTCGATGGCCGCGTCCAGGGCCGCGATGTTCTTGTCGACCGACTTCATGACGTGGGGCGGCACGCCCCCCTCCATGTCCTGCGCGGCCGCCTCGCATTTCTGCGACTTCAGGGCGTTCACCGCGCCCGGGAGCTTATCGACCTCAACCTGCAACTTCTTCTTCGCCGCCGCGTTGATCCTCTTGTCGGAGTTCCCCGTGTCGTCCTTGGTGGGCTTCTGCTTCTTGATGTCCTGCTCGCCGACCACCTTGCGGGTGCGCTCCTCCTCGGTGATGTCCGCCGTGGTGTTGTCCTGCGAGTAGGTCGGGACCTGCGCCAAGTGGATGCGCCGAACGGGGCAATGCAGTCTCTGGGCGTACTTCTCGATGTTGGCCAGCTGCTCTGGCTTGTCCTTAAAGCGGAGCCTCACGTCCGCAGGGTCCTCGAAAGGCCCTCCGACCGTCAGCTTGCTGCACGTGCGGCGGATGTTGCCCACGCGGATCGTCTCCTCCAGGCGCTTCTGGAGGTCGGGGCCCATCTCGCCGTGGGCCTCGCGCATCAGGTTGACGCGCTCGTCGGCCGTGAGCTTCCTAGTGTCCAGGCCCGTGCTCTTGGTCATGCGCTGGATGCGCTTGTAGAGTGTGGCGCAGTCGTGGCACCGACAGGAGTTGCTGGTGATCTGTTTCAACTCCATCGAGCCGTCCTTGGGGAAGATGATCTGGCAACTGCAGCACTTCTGGCCAAAGCGCTGCTGATCATCGGTGGCCAAGTCAACTGGCGAGGGCCCATCGGGGAAGACGACGGCCCAGTCGATCACATCGGGGATGACCGATCCCGCAGCACCCTCAGCCCCAAGCAAAGGCTCTTTCAGAGGGCATCGCCAAACAGGTCGCTGAAACTATAACACAAACAATGCTATTTTTGCTGATTTTTTACGGGGAAACACATGAAAATCTTCCCCTTTCTTTTTGAAAAGCGGCCGCGGGCGGGTCACGGCCCCGGGCGGGTCACGGCCGGGTCGCGGCCGGGTCGCGGGGGGGTCGCCTCTTGTGGCCCTGCCGCGGCTTTTCGGCGCTCCTGATCGCCGTCCTGCGAGCCCGAGGCGGACCTCGGGGCGGAGGCAGGAACTCCCTGACCTCCTCCTCCTCCTCCCTCCTCCTTCTTCCTCATCTTCCTCGCCCCCCCCCCCCACCCCCTGACGGCCTCGCGGGCCTGGCGGCCTTCTCGGCGCTCGCCTCAGCGAAGGCGGATGGGCGCTTCATGCCCGCGGCCGCGGGCGGGAGGGGAGGCGAGCCTTCCCCGAACATGTTCGGGCTAAAGCCAAGATGCTGTAGGTTGGAACGGGCGCGGAGAAATGTGTTTTTCGAAAGAGCAGGGTTTTCGGAGGAGGGGCGGGGGGGGTCGAAGGAGTGTTGGGGGGGGGGTTCGGAGGATGGAAGATTTCCGGAGCTATTTTACACTTTGGATAAAGCTGGCTCGAGGCCCTATGGAGAGCCTCCCAGGGGGGCATTTTTTTGGACTCTGGGGCGCCTCCTAGGGACAAATTTTGTGACTCTGGAGGGCCTCCCATGGGGGCAAAGGGGAGGGGCCATCCAGGGAGCTTCTCAAGGCATCCTCGGGACCTCGAGGACGGGGGGGGGAAGGGGCTATTTTTCAAATCGCTAAGGGCGGCGAGCCTGCCCCGATCTCGGGGCCCGCGTTAGGCGCGTCATCTCATCGCGCGCGTGGCACCGCAATGCGCACTATGCCTGGACGCTGGCGCTAGTCGCTGCCGCTAGAGCTGTCGCTGTCGGCGAAGAGCTTGGGAACGCGTGGCGGCGGTGTACTTGGCTTGGGACCCGTGGGGGGCGCCTTCTTCTTGACCACCTTGGGGGCCGCCTTCTTCTTGACCACCTTGGGGTGCGCCTTCTTCTTGACCACCTTGGGGGCCGTTGCATTCTTAGCCCCCTTCATCGCGCGAAGCGCGCAGTCGCGCCTGTAGATCTTACTGGTCATCAGCTTCTTCTCGTTGCGAAGCGCCGTGATGATTTCCTGCTTTTTTCCATAACTTCTCCTTCAGCTGCGTGTACGTGGGAGCTTTCGTCATGCGCCCCAGCGGACCAGCGCGAAAGCCAACCCTAGCAGAACGTGAATCCTGGAAAGGGCTGCGGAACGGCGACGAGATCCAACAACTCTGCGTTAGGCGTGGGATCTACGCAAATCATCGAGTGCCGAGAAATGCGAACCCCACCAGCTCTTTGGGCGACAGGTGGTCTAACGAGATGCTTCTATGGGGCCCTATTGGGGCCCTCTTGGGGGGGCCTATTGGGGCCCAAGATGGCTCCAATATGGCCCCAAGATTGCCCCAAGAGGGCCCCAAGAGGCCCCAAGAGGGCTCCAAGAGGGCTCCAAGCGGGCCCCCAGAGGGCCCAGGACCGACCGTTTTTTGGCCACGTCGAAAAACCTGCCCCCAAGAAGTCCCAAGAGAGCCCCAAGAGGCCCCAAGAGGGCTCCAAGAGGGCCCAACACGGCCCGCTTAGATGACTCACTTGGTCTCTAGCCAACGACCGTTTTGACTAGAGACCAACATCATTTGCATTGGGATCGGCATGGGGGCCTCTTGGGGCCATCTCGGGCTCCTCTTGGGGCCTTCTTGGAGGCCTCTCACGGCCCCAAGAGGGCTGGGATGGGCCCAAGAGGGATACGCAGCCAGTGCCCACCCGAAGGCTCGCGGCGGAGGCGCGACAGCACTATTTGTCAGAAAGGTCGGCCCAGCGCCGACAGGACTGGGGAGGAGGCCCGAGAAGGCGCGGGGTGATCTCCCACAGGGGGAGGACCCCCTGCGCCTAACGCACCCCCCCCCCCCCCCTCTAGCGGGCCCCTGGCTGGGTCAGCGACACGCGCCGCGCTCGCCAGCCAGGAGCCCGCTAAATACTCATCGAGGCAACTCGCCTGGCGGCTGTTCCGGGATGGGCTGGTGGGGATACGCGAAGCGTGAAGAATACGGCGGCGACGACAGACGACGACGACGACGACGACGCGCCCCCGCACTTGCGGATGAGAGCGCGGGGGCGGTGGAGGCACCCCCACGTGCCTTATGATCCCCATGGGCCCCATGGGCTCCCTGGGCTCCCTGGGCACCCCCCCCCCCCACACCACCACCACCACCACCGCACACCCCCCAAGGAGTCACATTGGCCACAAGAGCCATATGAGCCCTATGAGCCCAAGGCGGCCCGAGCGGAAGCAAAACTTTACCACGCGCACTGGTCCTTATGAGCCCCGTGAGCCCTAAGATCCCAATGGGCCCTATGAGTGTTATGTATGGGGCCCTGCTCATGGAGCCCTCTCGGACCCCTCTCGGGGCCCTCTTGGGCCCCTCTGGGAGCCCCGCGGGCCCCATTGCATCCGGACCTCAATGGGGTCCGCGTGGGCCCCCTCTTGTGAGTATGATGCTGGTAGCGCAGTCGGGGCGAGCCTCCGACCGAGGCGAGCCTCCAGTTTTTTTGCCCCCCACGCGGCCGCGCGCACACATTGCGGAGGGCGCGCCTCTGAGCTGGAGGGCGCGCCTCTTGCAATCTAGAGTGTATTCATGAACGTCGGCCGAGGGCTCTCACAAGATCTCGTCCTCGGCTGCTGGCGAAGGGTCCTCGGCTGCTGGCGAAGGGTACTCCTCCTCCTCCGCTGCTGGCGAAGGGTCCTCGGACGCTGGCGAAGGGTGATCCTCCTCCTCCGCAGCTGGCGAAGGGCATGGTGGAGATTCCATCTCTGTGTCCGAACCGTCGTCGATAGTAGCCGGATGCACCGCCGCAGTCGAACTGAAGGTATCGGTGGCGAGCTCTTGAAGACGATCTTGATAGACGGGATCGGGGCCCCCTTGGCTGGAAGTCGGCTTGGTGATCGGATTCGCGAACATCGGGTCCACGAACGTCGGCTCACTGGCAGGTGCACGCGGTGGTGCAGGTCTGGCAGGTGCACGCGATGGTGCAGGTCTGGACGCAAGGGCTCTCGGTGGTGCCGCCGAGCTCGGTGTAGGTGCCCCTGATGGCGCCGCCGAGCTTGATGCTGCCGAAGTATCCTGATGGTGCTGCCGAGCTTGTTGCTGTTGACGTCGGCGCTCATCCGCTGAATGTTGCAACTGCTGCTCTCTGGTCTTCCTGGCGCCATCGACGCCGTTGCCCCTGATGCACTCGACCGCCAATCGCCACGCAGTTTGCAGCCCTTCAGGCGGGCCGTGCACGGTCAGGAATCTCCCGCCATTGCGATTGCGCTTGCCCTTGCATCGGCCGCGGACGGTCGCCTTGCAGCCCGTGATCGCCTCGATGGCCTTCTCGCCCTGGGCAGACAACGTGCCCTGCGGCGCAAGCTCGGGCCCGAGGTAACCCTCGGTCGGCGGCGGTGGCAAGTCGAAGGCGTCGCCTTCCTCGGGGGCGGGCCACGTCGCCCTGGGGCCTGGAGCCAAAAAGGCTGAAGAATAAACTCGGGGGAGGCGGAGGGCTAGCTGGATGGGCCTCGTGAGCTCCATGAGCCCCATGGGCCCCATGGGCCCCCAAGGAGCCCCATTGGCCCCAATGGCCACATGGGCCCTATGAGCCCAAGGAGGCCCAAGCGGAAGCAACACTTCACCACGTGCATGCGGCAATTGCCCCGCATTGGCCCTATGAGCCCGAAGATCCCAATGAGCCCTATGAGCCTTATGTATTGGGCCCTATTCGAGCACTCTTGGGCCCCTCTCGGGCACCTTTGGGGGGAGGGCCCCTCTCTCGCCCTCTCGCTCTCTCGCGCTCTAGCTCTACATCTCTCTCTCTCTCCATATATATATATATATATATATATATATATATATATGTATATATCTTTCTATATCTATATATACCTCTCGTTGTCTTTGCGTGCGAATATATATATATATATATATATATATATATATATATGTATACACATATCTCCCCCCTCTTTCTCTATATATCTCCCTCCCTCATGTATGTATATATATATAGATCACGACGAACGGCGAATGCTTCACGACCGTCGATCTTCGCTCGACGGGCTGGAGGTGGAGTTGGAGAGGTGGAGTGGAGGTGGAGTTGGAGAGGGGGAGGAGGAGGAGAGGGATGGAGGTGGAGTTGGAGAGGGGTGGAGGCGGAGTTGGAGAGGGGGAGGAGGAGGAGGAGGCGGAGGATAATGAGGAGGAGGAGGAACCGAGGCGAGCCTTCGGCAGTTGTTTTGTCCCGCGAGGCGAGCCTTCGGCAGTTGTTTTGTCCCCCAGCGCACCGTGGATTCAGAGCCGCTGCAGAACTGGAAGCAACGGCCGCATGCCTGGCCGCAGGTCCACGCACGGGACCGCGCAAAAGATGGCAGCAACAGGGGCCCACGCCCAAGATTGGCGCGCGTCCCATCTGCCGCCGGGCATCTCCGCGCACACTTGCACCGAGACGCCAAACGCGCGTCGGCCCGTGTCACTCAGAGACGGAGACCCAACACCGCAGGATGGTTGGGAAATCCCACCAGCCCTCTGGGCGCAGGTGGTCTAGCGCGTTTCCATTTCCAACCTCCTCCTTTTCTCTGTTCGGGGGGTTTACCTCCCCCCTCCCTGCGTCTGGGCGGGGGAAGGGGGAAGAGGGGGGGGGGCGATGTGTCGAAGCGTCTTTCTTGCTCCAAGATTGCCTCCAAGATGGCCCAATATAGCGGTACACAGGCCAAGGTAGCCTCCGACACGCGTCCAAGAGGCTTCAAGACGGCCCCAAGGCGGCTTCAAGTGCCCTCCGAGGCCTCCAATGACCCCCCCAAGAGGCCAAAATCGCTCAACCACCTAAGGAAATTCATGGGGGTGGTCTGGGAGGCCTCTTGGGGCCGTTTCAGGCCGCATTGATCAAGAAGAGGGGCGGCGTTAATTCTTGCCCCCCCCCCCCCCCACCCTCGGAGGCTCAACAATGCAGTCTTGGGGCCCTTTTGGTTTGCTCTTGGAGCGCTCTTGGGCGCTCTCGGGGCCGTCTCGTGGCTCTCTTGGGCCCCTCTCGGGGCTGTCTTGGGCCATATTGGGGCCATCTTGGGGCCCCGCGGGCCCTTCGGAGGCGAACAAGCGAGAAGGCAAACAACAGGGAGAAGGGTATACCTGGCTCGTCGAGCCCCAATGGGCTGCTCCAGCTGGAGAACGCAGAGGGCGACGTGATCACCGTGACGAGGTGCACGAGGCCGCCCGTGGCAGCAGGTGGCGACAGGCGAGTGTTCATCACCGCCTGGATCAAGACGGTTGGCGATAGAAGGGCGAGGATGATCGGACAAGTCGCGGCGAAGGAGCACTTCGAGCAGCCCGAGGAGTGCATCAAGAAGCTCGCGAAGCAATTCGCCATTGACGGCGACGCCGAAAAGTTCGAGCTCGCCAAGCAGGAGCAGATCAAGCGCCAGGGCGGGCACGGCAAGAAGGCAGCACAGAAAAGGCCAGCCGCGGCGGGCAAGCGGTCGGCAGCAGCGGCATGCAAAAGGGCGGCGGCAGCGGCAGAGGAGGACGAGGATGAGAAGGCTTAGGAATATGACGAGAAGGCGCAGGCCGCGGCTGCTGGGGACCACCAGGAGGCAGAAGAGGAGGAAGTTCAGAACGACAGGGGCGAGGAGGAGGAGGAAGATGGCGCAGAGGACGAGAAGTCGAGCAGCCAGAGTGAAGAAACCAAGGCGGCCGCAGCCACGAAGGGAACGAAGGGGGCCAAGAAGACATCCGAGCCCAAGGCGGTGATCCCCACGGCCAAGGCGACCCCGATGAGCAAGCGCACCAAGAAGAACAAGGATGAGGCGTTGGCATCCTCCAGCAAGAGCCATCCCAAGACAGCGGCGCCCTCAAGCTCGAGCCCGAGCCCGCCAAAGAAGAGGCCGTCGCCCGAGGAGAGCCCGCGCCCGTCTAAGAAGAAATGCTTTTCCTCAGAAGATGATTTCGACATGCGAGCGGGCTTCGGCTAGGTTCGCACAGAGGAGGTAGAGGATGCTGCCCATGAGGAGGTAGAGGAGGTATGCCAGTGGGGAGGTAGAGGGGCGCTGTCAGTCGAGGAGGTAGAGGAGCGAAGAGGTAGAGAAGCACTGTCAGTGAGAGGGGGTCGCGCGCGATCGCGCCACCGACCCGAGGCATCGGGGGGCGTCGCAGCCCTGAATTCTGACTTGGACGGCAGGCGCTGCACGCCCGTCGCCTTGCGTCTTGGTGTGAAAGGAATAGGATTAGCAAATCAAGGGTGGGAGATGGGCGAAGAGTGGGTGGAGAGGAGCGCGACGAGGAAGGTTGATGAGAAGCAGGTAGCAGGTGTGAAGGATCAGCGTACTGAGAGCAATGATCAGCGCGGGCAGCATGGGGAGGGCGATGGGGCATGGGCGCGCGCGAACGCTGCAGAAGGGCACGCATGCAGCCACGTCGGCTCGAGCATGCCTCGCCTGCAGCCCCTGGGGGACAAGTGGGCCGACATCAGGCAGTTCGTTCAGAGGGTGCCGATGGAGGAGGTCACGGCGCAACGTCACAGCGCGTCGCAACCAACCTCGCTGCGTCATTGCCCCCCTCGCGCAAGATGGCCGGTGTCCTCTCGATCGAGGGCGGGGGCGACCCGCGCGACGGAGAGATGACGCGGCGAGGTCGGTTGCGCCGTTGCTGGCAACGTTGCATGGGGGTCGAAGGTCGCGAGGGCTCCGAAGCGCCACCGAGTGCGGGGCAAGGCCAGCAGCACCCGCAGCCCTGCGAGCAGCTCCCCTGCACAGAGCATGGCTGAGCTGACTCCTGGCACCCGCAGGATGCACGAAAAGATGGGCGAGTGGATGGGTCTCGAGGGTTCGCTGCTGGGAGGAGGTCGCTTGCCGCCGACCGACGACGAGGCCCAGAAGGCAGAACGGTCCAAGGTGGCTGGTGATGCCGAGGAGGAACAGGCTGATGAGGCCGATGAGGAAAAGGCTGATGAGGTCGAGGGGGGAAAGGCCGATGAGGTTCAGGAGGTTCCGATAATGGACAGAAACATGAGGGCGAGGATGTCCAGGCAGCACCTGGGGCGGCTGGGGGAGTCGAGGCTACTCGTGCGAAAGGGGCGGGGCCGAGTTAGCTGGCGAGCGATTCTGGAGATGAGCGCCTCTCTGACATCGCTTCGCAAGTTCGAGATGCAAAGCTGGCAAGCATTGCGTCTCTGAAAGAAGAGCAGGACCCATTCGTATCCCCGTTATTGCTCTCTCTCTCTCTCTCTCTCTCTCTCTCTCTCTCTCTCTCTCTCTCTCTCTCTCTCTCCCTATACATCTCTCTCCGTTTCTCTCCTTCTTTATCTGGGCCCATCTCTCGCCCGCCCGCAAATGGTCGCCGCCCCAGCCCGAGGAGCGCGTCGCCGCTAGCATCGAGGCTGCTGCTGGACGACATCCGACATCGAAGGATCCCCTCCCCCCCCCCCCCCCGTCCCAGTTGCCATCGCCCCGTCGCTTGTTTACCGAAGTTCCTCATCCTCCTCATGTTCCCCCTCCTCCATCCAGGTTTTGGCGGGTAGTGTATGCATAGTGCACGTGCGCGTATACACGCATGCGTTGATGCGTGAGCCTTGGGGCGAGGACTCAGAGGACCAGAAAAGAATAGAGAAGCATGCTGAGAGGAGGAGCCGCTCGGCGTCGACGGTCAGAGGCGGGGCGAAGAAGAAGGCAAGGCAATATACGACGGCAAATAAGGATAAGCAGGAGGCGGCGTGTGTTGAAGATGAGGGTGGTACGAATCTCTCGGCTTCACCCCAAGGTGAAGTGCCCGCTGGTGTGCAGATAGATAGACGGGCAACTTGGACCACCAGCGCCGACCTCAGTAATATCGAGTTCGAGTTATTCTGGTGTGAGCTCTTCTGCTGGTGTAGCGCCAATCGGGGGACACCGCTCGATGGGAATCATGGGCGCGGCTCGCGAACCGATTGGAACGTCCAACGCCATGTAGTCGAACGCGTTCCCTGACAGCGAGAGTCATCTGATTTCGGCGATCGACTCGGAGACCAAGGCCATCAATGATGAGATGGGCTCGCACCCGAACCCCGACGAACGCGCGATGGAGCGCGCCAGCATCAGGCCGGGGCAGTTCTTCCACTGCGGGCTCATCAAGAAGCTGACAGCCTTGAAGAAGGCCGATCCCACCTGGTCTGATAATGAAGATCACGACGAGTCGCCCGACGATGATACGAACGCTCACTTAAGCAAGAAGGGCAGGGGGGAGCAGCGATTTTACGAGGAGACGGCGGCGAAGAACTTCATGTTCACCACAGAGACAAACGGTGGGAACAAAGTAGGGGGCCGATGGCAAAAGGCCTCGGCGGCGTCAGAGGCTTTGAGGAGAGACTACGCAGCGGAGAAAGGATGGCCAGCCCAACGGAAGTTCAGATCGGACTGGCTCAAGAAGGAGCTCGAATCATGGAAAAAGTTGGAACTGCGTGCAAAAAGAGGAGCACGAGACAGAAGATAAACGAATCTGCGAATACGTCACCTTGGAGCGGCTGGCGTGGCTCAAGGGCGGCGGCACTGCAGGCCTCCGCTTGGCGCTGCAACATGCGTCGAATGCCGTGCTGATGGGTGGGAAGTGGGTCCGCTGGGACGACATGGCGGAAACGATCGAATTCTTGAACGACAAGCATCAGTTGACCGAGTCGTTCAAGAAGAGCTGGCATCGGCACAAAGAGTGGGCGCGCACCTTCCAAGGTAGCGAAGCTGGCAGCAGCAGCGCGAGCGCGCTGCCAGCGCCAGATGCCGTGGAGGCGGCGCCAACGACGAGGATCACGCAGAGGAGAGACAAGGGCGAGGAGGACCACGGCTCCACTGGGCACAAGAAAGGGATTGATAATATTGCGTTACATGATGAGGAGGCCGCCGAGAAGTTCACGAGGCGCGAGCAGGAGAAGCCCATGGGCGAGGAGAAGGTCAGCAAGGATAATTCCCAGAAGGCGACGAAGGAGAAACAAGAACAGGCCAATGATAAACAAAAAAAGAACAGAAGGAGAAAGAGAAGGAGAAAAAAGAACGGCATGAGAAAGAGAAGGAAACCAAATAACAGAAGGAGAAGGTCGGTAAAAAGGAAAATAAGGGCAGTTCCGGCTCTGATGAAGAGAAGCCCGATCCCAAGCCCCGTAAGGTGAACCCAGATCTCGTCAAATTCAGGGCGCTGAAATCCAATTACGACTGGGCCATCAGCCATTATGCCAAACTCGACGGGCTCATCAAGTCGAAGGACACATCCTGGAAGGCAGTCGGCAAATTTCGCGAGCCCATGGGCACCGCGATGCAGGTCGTGAACGCGAAATGTTCGGAGCACGGCCTCATGTCGATGATGGCATTGGCGGAAGGGAAGTTCAAGAAACAGGCGGATCATCCTTGAATTGGTGCATCTTGCAATGTTGTGTGATGGGTGTGTCATGCGTGCGTGTGCGTGCAAATGTCGTTCACTATCATGATGTCGGTACCCATCGTGCATCCTCCCCATGTCTATCCTGATCATCCGCCCCCACTCGTCATCCATGCCCGCCGCCAGGTAGGAGATAAGGAGTTCGAAACATGCGCGCAGAGAGCCAACGTCACGCTGACGAAGAGCGTGACGATATTGAGTTCAGAAGTGAGGATCCTGATGAACCAGAAGCTTGCGAGGGACGATGAGGACGAGAGGTTGAGGTTGGCAGCGAACCCGAAAGACAAGAAGGGCAGCGCGAAGAAGAGGAAGAAGGATCACAAGGATGAGGATAATGAGGGGAAGAGCAAGAAGGACCGCAAGAAGAAGAATAACAAATACTCTGGGTCATCTGATTCGGACTAGCCTGAGCTGGCCAGCACGGGGAGCCGAGAGGGATGAAGGGGATCAGGAAGGACAGATGGGTCGCGCGACCGCCTGCCGAGAGTGTGGTTCGTTTAATGATATGCCATCGCGTCGGTGGCCTCGAGACGTGGGTTCAGACGGCGGGGCCCATGCATAGTTGATCCACGTGACATCATCAAGCTCTGGCCTCATGGAATCCACTGTTACATGGTGGATCCAGTCTGTAACTGGCTGATGGACAACGTGTGGATCCACCGCTCATGTGATCTGCCGTCTGGATCCGCCGTCGCTGAGTCCTGTATTTCTGTTCTGGTTTTGGATCGGTTCTCCCGTCCCGAATCGATGTTCCCTGTGTCGATATTCCTGGATCGGTTTTCCCTGGATCGGTTTTCTCTGGATCGTTTTTTCGTGGATCAGGTTTTCCTGGATTGTATTGTCCTGGCCCGACAGCGCTACCCCTGCGAATCAGCTAATCAGGCCCGTGGGTAGTCTTCCAACCCTGAGAGTTGCAGGAGAAAGCAGGAACGCCAGACGGCTGCCACAAACATCTCTTGGTGGCCGGGAAGCGCAACTGTCAGCCGGGGAATTTTTGAAAGTTTGATACCCCCCCCAGGAAATAGAAAGAAAATATGTATAAATTTAGAAGAAATGATTTGTATAAAAGACAGGAAACCCTATCTCTCTATATATATATATATGAAAAACGTGCAACGTAGGAAAATGATGTCAGAATGATTTCAGAATGAATTTGGTATGAATTTGGAATAAATGATGGAAGCTGCGCGCCAGTGGTGTGCACGGATGTCTGACCAACTTTTGTCTGGGCGGTAGCGCGGTCGGGTCCAAATGCTCGGGGCCGCGGCGCGGGTCGCACCCCGCGCCGCTCGGGGGATCTGGATCCGAAGGTATGGTTATCGCTCCTGGGACTTGCCCGTGCTGTCTGTAAGAATTTCGGCCATGGCGCTGGCTACTCACGGGTGGCCACACAGACGTCTGCACGCGCGCCTTGCAAACGTATGCATGCGCGGGGGGTCGCCTTGTGCATATAGAAGGCGCGAGCGTTATGCTGAACGTGGCAAGGGCCGCGTCCGTTCTGCTGGGGTTAGCGGCCGAGGAGCACACCTGCGCGGTGCCTCGTGAAACAGGAACTGTTGCGACACATGTGCGGTGCGAGATGTGGGATGCGCAGTCGTCGCGTCCAGCGTAGCCGTTTCAGCTCGAAGTGAAGCGACATGGGCCATGGTGAGGCGACTCAAACGGCCGCAGCTTGCGTTCGGGAAAGATGGCGCGCGCAAGCGCGCGGCAGGCTCAGCTGCGTTTGACCTGTCGTTGGCATTATACGGGTCATGTAAGAAAGTGTATGCCACAGATTTTTGCGCTTTGTGCCATTACTTGAAGTGCTGTGGCGTTACGGGGGGGCAGCGGAGCACATTTACGATGTCGCCAGATAAACAGACAGGGAAATACAAACAACACATGGATCGACATCTGCCAGGTCCTGGACCTCTTTACACGGCACGACTGCCCGCGACCGTCAGGAGAAACGCTCATCTGAAATTCCAGGGATATCATATTCAGGGAGATGTTTCGAACTGTCGCTGATGAAGTTGCCACATTCTGGAGAAAGGGCCGTGTGGTGATCCAGGTAGCGTGCTGTCGGTGCCGCGTTACCGAGATCATGTATGCGTTGAGCGGTGCGTCAGGGATACAGGGAAGTGGCCGTTGCCCCTGGCTCTCTACATCGACGGGGTACGGTACACTCCTATATGCGCTGGTCGGTCTGACAATCATGCTTCGCACACAGCACCCATGATAATGCTGGCGGGATGTGCGATCGACCAGCTAGTGTGGACTGGTTGCGAAATGAATTGGGGGTGAATTTGGAATGAATCTGGGAGGGATTTGGAAATGGAGTTTGAATGGTTTGGGAATGAATTCGGAATGAAGTCGGAAGGAATTCGGATTGAATATATAATGAATTTGGAATGAGTTTGGAATGAATTCGGAATGGATTCAGAATTAATTCAGAATTCATTTAGAATGAATTCGGAATGGACGTGGGATGAATTTGAATCAGCTTCATTCAAATTGCATTCTGCTATGAAATTTAGAATGAATTTAGTATGAATTCGCGTGTCAATCACCGCTCTGCCCTAATATGAGGGCTGGCGGATAATCTAGTTCAGGTGAGCGTCGTGAACATGGTATCGCATACTAGGCACCTCATGGGATTCATGCGAACTAGTGAATTGTGCGACTGTGGGTGTGGTGGGTATTGCTCGATCCATGGAATGTTGCAGGTTGCGGCGTGGCAGCTCGAAGCGTTGGAAGGCGGGTGTGTCCCGCAAGATATGCACGACGGATCACCGTGGCCCGTCCACCTGCGCCCAACTGATAATGGCACCGACATCGGGTTTCGGGGTGTAGCTCTGTACGTGAAGGGTGACTGGGCAGAGTTCGCTAAGTCGATGGGTTTAGCTGGGTGGGGTAATACGTGGCAACCGTGTCCTATCTGCCCAGCGCAAAAAGACGCAATGCATGCGTGTGCGCCGTGTCTTGTTTCTGAGGATGGTCTCCAGATGCCCGACCGATCTCACGACGACTACGAACTGGCATGCGGCAAGTGCGAGTACTCGTAAACGTCACTTCTGTAGGTATGAGGAATGCGATTTGGGCGGCAATTCAACCCACAGAAACAGTTGGGTTGGTTTTGAAATCGAACGTTCATGGGCTCATCGCAGGGGACCGTTTGGCGCGTTCCAAGGAGCTTCTGATACCCGCAGAGTTTCACGCGAAGAGCGCGCCGTTCACTGCAACGTTTTGGAGGTCCCAGTTCGATTGTTCAAAGCGGTGCATCGACTCAGTGCGACGCAGATGCCCACTGCTTTCAACCACGCTCGGTGCATCACCAGCCCGCCCGCCCGTCATAGACACACTGCGCACAGTATATCTTGGTATAATGATGCGGGTCACGTGCGCTATCTTGATGAGACTGATGTGGCCCAACCCGTGGGGCGTGAGCGCTGCAAAGATAATTCCGAGGCTGGAGGCTGACATGTTCGTGTATTACGACAAACAACAAGTACCGCACCACAACATGGTTAACATCTTGTCAGACCAAATGTTCCCGACGGCGCGAGGGCCAACGCACGCTGGTGGCATTTTGAAGCTAAAGGCATCCGAGACGTATGTGATGCTGAAATTCGCAATCTATGATTTCGAAACATTTGCTGCGTGTCCCATCTACAAGGGTACGGAACTGTTGGCTGCCGCCCGTGCGCTACGTACCTGGGTGCAGACAGTGCGAGAGTGTGGAGCTTGTCTGACGCGCGACCAATACCACACCCTCCTGGATTCAGCCAACCGCACACCGGCAAACGCAGATCGAGCAGGGGTGAAGCCAACGCCGAAGTTCCACACATTTGGCCATGTCACTGCTAGGAGCTGGCATCTCGGAAATCCTAAGATTTACGATACGTTCGTAGACGAGGCCCTGAACCTCGCACTAAGGACTTGCGCAGAGAGGAGCCACAGGAGCACGCTGGAGGCATCCGTATTTGGTTGCTTTGGGATCATGGGGTGTCTGAACACTGACGTGCATATTTTCGCGTCGACGGATGTCCACCCCAGGTACGCTGCTCGGGGTATACGCGGGGACAGCATGGAGGGAGAGGCCATGGATGTCGACGGCGATGGCGACGACGAGGACGAGGCAGCTGCAGGAGACGACAGGTCGACGAACACCACCACCCTCACACCTGGCATTCATACTCTGTCACCAACACGCCAGGGACAGTACAGTTCTGGACATCCCAACTCATGCCCAACCCATTCCAAACTTATGTTGTAATAGATTTGGAATGGATGAGGTATGAATGCGTAAGCCCTCACGGGGGCCGATGGGGGCTGGGCGACCCCGCCAGGAGGTCACGGATACGGCGGAGGTGATGATGGAGGCGGCGGAGGCGATGTGCTGCGGTTCGGGCGCAAGCGCAGAGGAGGCCAACGCCTGGATGACGGGCGCCGCAAGCAGCTGCGCTCGTAAAACATAGCCTTTGTTACTCATGGGGTGGGGTGCGCAGAGAGCAGAGAGGGTGAATGGGGCATGTCGAGCATATCATTGCGTTTCTCTCGCGTGGCAGAATTCTTTTAGGATCAGGCCTCGCGGGGCCGCCATCCTGCTCGGGCGCAGGGGCGACGAGCAATTATGGCCTCTGGCTATGGTAGATGGAAGATGGCGCCGCCACTGATGCCGGCGGCGCCACGCGCCCCTCCGTCTCCGTCCTAGAGCTTCGCGTGAGCGGTGTGCTGAAACGTCGGCGGGGGGGTGAGGCGGGATAGGAAGGGGGTAGCCACGTGAGATCTGTGCGCGGGGCATTTGCCAGGCCGTGCGACACGCTCGAGATCGATGCGGATTCGCACTGCTGGGGCTCCGACCCCAACGCGGACACAGTCGACTTCGGCGTGCTGCTACCGATTCGGAGGAGGATTCGCTTTCGCATGCCGCGGCGGGGGTAAAATCAGGGGGATGATGTCTACGGGTGGTCGGTGTCATGGCCCCCCAACCCCACCTTGTCGTTTGGCATAGGACCCCACCCACATTCAAGTAACCAATTCCGTTTCGGCCCAGGCCTCGATTCGATGACATAGTAGAGTACGAGATCTACGAAGGGAACCGCTTGACGAATTGGACGTGGGAGGGCTTTGCAGTATGATGGCGTTAACTGTGCGCGTTGGCCATGGCGAGGTTCGGCAGTGCTGATTTGTGAGTGTTGCGCCCAGCTATAGACCAACATGCGCATTCGATCGTAATGCTGTTTTATGATGAGTATACGTACATGGGGCATGTGTACACAAAACGTGCTCGCACGAGAGCTGCGATGGGGAGGACCGAGGTAGAGAAAGAGAAGCCGAGGAAGGGGCGCAAGCGCAAGTGCTGGCCAGCTGGGGCAATGCCGGTGAAAACAGATGACGTGAAAGTTAGAGAATATTCCCGCTGGGTAGACGCGCGTCGCAAGAGGGGGCGGTCGAATCCTACGCGCACCCCCTTCTATCGCGCATGTTTTGCTCTCTGTCTCTGTCCGACCGCTCTGCGCCCGTTCCTTCCCCGCCGCCCGCCACCAACCGCTGCCGCCACCACGTCGCGTTGGAGTCTGCCGCCCCCAGCTGAGACGCCGCCGCAGGCCATCGCAGTGGGGCATCTGCGCCGCGTGCACCATGATGGCTGAGTGTTTGGGGGAACCCAAGTACACATGCGCGATATGTCGCCACCGTATAGAGGGCATGTACCAGCCATGCCGCGGCGATGACCCTAGCGAGAGTGACGATGGTATTTAGCTCGAGTTTGGGTAAGGGCAAAAATGTCAGCTTCTCCATGCGTGCCCCGCGCCATTGCACGCCGCCGCTTGCCCCCCCCTCCCTCACTCGCTCCATCGTCACTACCCCCCTCTGTCGCCGCCATCTTGCCGCAACTTGCAGCCGCGCGCGCGGCGCGCGGTGCCCCCCGCGGGGCCGCGCGCGGGGCGATGTCATCTAAGGAGGCGCAGGATAGGATCAGACGCCAGGCGGCAATCGACCTTGTCAAGGATGACTATGCCCACAACATCAAGCGGGCGGAAGCATGGCCGACGCACATGCGGACGGCAGGCGGGCCACCTCCAGAGGAGATTGGGCTCAGGGCCGCGAAGGATGCGGCGAAGGGGGGGGCCGCGCGAGGTGAAGGAGGAGCTCAAGCAGGCAAAGCTCGAGGAAGTAAAGAAGGAGGAAGTGGGGGGGGGATTTCTGGTTCCAAGCGGCGGAGCTGTCAGCGGAATCCTACGGCAGCGACAGTGAAGCGTGCGGTGACACTTTCATCGTTGTCGATAGCCTCGCGACGTACATGTCCAACTGGACACAAGCATCGCCATGCCTACCGTGGATGACACGGAAGCAATTGCGCAGGTGCAGGAAGACAGTGCGCACTGACGCCAAGGAGGTCGCCGCCTTCTAAACCATCTACTCTCTTCATGTTCCTCCCGTCCTCGTCTGTCTGTTGCTGCTCTCTCCATCCACTTCGACGTCTCTCTCGCTATCTTTCCCTCGGCATCGCGTGGTCTCTCTGCGCTCTCGCCGTTCTCGCGCGGCACGCCCCCTGCTGCCGCTCGCGCCCAGGTCGCCGAAGTCCATGAGATGATGCAGGTGAAGGTCGAAGAAGATCAGGATCTCGAGCCAGAGGTAGAAGAAGAGCCCAAGAGCGAGGAGGAAGGCCCGCCAGGAGGTCGGGCAAGCCTGGCACAGCACCTACGGGCCGACGCCATGCGCAAAGATGCGCGCATGCGAGATCAGCCCCGGCCTCGAAGTCGCCCCCGTGCCAACGCAGCTGGGCAGCAGCAGGGCAGCCGAGAGGATGGGCCTCGGATCCCGAGAACACCTGAAAGGAAGCCTGCCAACGCCACGCTCAACACGGAGGACGAGTTCGAAGAGTTGTCCGGTGAAGACCCGTCGAAAATTCAAGGGCGGAACGCTGCGATATTGGCAGCGCGGGCAGGCGATTGGAGCAAGACGTACAAGGTGTGGTGCGGCAAGAGTGCGGTGGACCTTTCGGCGAATGGGTCTCCGTGCGTGTCATCCCGAAAGAGTTGAAGCGCACGACGCAGACGGAGATTCCGCAGCGTGCGAGGCCTGCAGCTCCGAAGCAGCGGCCGTAGTCAGCGCCGCAGAGGGACGATGGCTGGTCATGGAGCTGGAGCTCGTGGGACAAGGGCTGGACGGCATCCCACTGGTCGAGCTCGTGGCAGTAGAAGCCGAGGAGGAGGAGGTCAAGAGGCCGAGGCCATGATGCCAGGAGGCCAGGAGGAGGCCAGGAGGAGGCCAGGAGGCCGAGCAGGCCATGAGGCCGAGCAGGCCAGGAGGCCGAAGGCCACGAGACTGAGGGGCGCACTTGCCCCGCCGCGAGTGGCCCGCTGGCCACTGTGCGCGGCGGACGCGCAGCTTGCGCGCGCCGCCTCGGCGAAGCCGATTTCTCTTTCTCTTCCTGTTGTCTGTCGTCTTCTCTCTGTCCCTCTCTCTCTCTCTCTCTCTCTCTCTCTCTCTCTCTCTCTCTCTCTCTCTCTCACTCTCTCTCTCTCTCTCTCTCTCTCTCTCTCTCTCTCTCTCTCGCTCTGCGCCCCCTCTCTTTATTGTTGGTGTTTTTTGTTTCTCTCTCTCTCTCTCTCTCTCACTTTCCCTATGTCCCTCGCTCTTTCTCTCTCTCTCTCTCTCTCTCTCTCCTCTCTCTCTCTCTCTCTTCTCTCACTTCCCCATTCCCACCCTCTTTCTCTCTCTCTCCTCTCTCTCTCACTCTCTCTCTCATCTCATCCCCTCTCTCACTCTCTCTCTCTCCTCTTTTTTTTTTTTTTTTTTTTTTTTTTTTTTTATTTTTTTTTTTTTTTTCCACTCTCATCTCCTCTCACGCCTCTCTCAACACGCTCCTCATACTCTCTCCTCTCTCTCCTCTCTCTCCTCTCTCTCGCTCTCTTCTCTCTCTCTCCTCACTCTCTCTTCACCTCTCTTTTTATTTTTTTACTCTCTCTCTCTCTTCCTCTCTCTCTCGTCTCTCACTCTCTCTCTCTCTCTCTCTATATATATATATATATATGGTCAGCCCCCCCCCAGCACCCCGTGTGCACCCATCGCTCTCTTTCCGTTGCTCCTCCTCCTCCTCCTCCTCCTCCTCCTCCTCCTCATCCTACTCCTTTCCTCCTCCAAATATGAAAACGAAGAGGATGAGGAGGAGGAGGAGGAGGAGGACCAGGAGGTTGAGGATTAGGATGAGGAGGAAGAAGCCATGCTATTCACCGTTTTTTGTCAGGGAAGCCACGAAACCTTGCTATTCACATTTTTTTTTTGTTTTCAGAAGCTCCGCAAACTAGGCCAGGAGGTCTTATGGACGGCTGAAAACCAAAAAAAACATGTGAATAGCAGCGTTTGGTGGCCACGATCCCACCAGGCGCTGCTATTCACATGTTTTTTTTTTTTTTTTTTTTTTTTTTTTTTTTTTTTTTTTTTTTTTTTTTTTTTTTTTTTTTTTTTTTTTTTTTTTTTTTTTTTTTTTTTGTTTTTTTTTTTCTGTCTAGGAAGCCACCAAACGCTGCTATTCACAGTTTTTGTTTGGTTTTTTTGGTTTTCAGAAGCTCCGCAAGCCCCCGCGGCTCCTTCTGGCCAAGCTTGTGGAGCTTCTGAAAACCAAAAAAAACCAAAAAAAAACATGTGAATAGCAAGGTTTCGTGGCTTCCCTGACCAAAACAACCAAAAAAATTATGAATAGCATGGTTTGGTGGGCAGTGGTGCTTTGCAATAGAATTTCTTTGTGCGGCTTTCCAATAGAATCCCTTTGTGGCGCTTTCCAAAGGATTCCTTTTGTGAGGCTTTCCAATAGAATTCCCTTGCGATGCTTTCCGAAGGATTCCTTTTGTGAGGCTTTCCAATAGAATCCCTTTGTGATGCTTTCCAAAGGATTCCTTTTGTGAGGCTGTCCAATAGAATTCCTTCTCCTCCTCCTCCTTCTCCTCCTCCTCCTCCTCCTCCTCCTTCTCCTTCTCCTCCTCCTCTCACTCCTCCTCCGTCTGTTCTTCCTCTTCCTGCGCGCAAGTGCGCGCTGGCGAAGCGCGCGATAGCGCCCGCGCGCAGCTGAAGATGATGATGTTCAGCTCACTTCACTACGATCGCAAACAATATGCGGATCCGCGCACATTTCGCCTGGGCATTGCCATATCATTCGCCCGACAGATCGCAACGCGGGTGGCATCTATACGAAGAGGGGCAATGTGAACACACCTCTGGTCTCAAGAACTAACTCGGCCCAAGCGAAATAGACAACAAGCGCAAACGCGCGCCGCGCGCCTGGCCACTCTCACTCCGAACGCCAAGCCTGTCGCCACTAGATCACTCCGCCTGGCCACCTGGCTGCTCCTGCGCGCCGATCTCCAAGCGGGATCGGCTGCGTCAGCGAGAGAGCTCACTGAGCGTGGTCCTTGGCCCACGCGTCGCGGAGCATCTGGCCAGTAGCGAGCCAGAGATCGCTGCCGCGGTTCCAGTACGCCCACTGGAAGGAGCGCACCTTGCATAGGCCAGAGAGCGAGCAGCAACTGCGCATGTCGCGCTGGGCCGCCTCTCCAAACCTCAGCGCATGCCACCCGCCAACCTTTCCCGCGCCGGGCAACACCTCCCACCCCCCTGGGCGGCGTTCAGCTGCACTGAAGATTGAGGAGACAGCGCCTACGCAAACAAACGCGTTGCACGTCGTTCATCTGGCCTGCCTTGTTGCGGAGAAGGACAGACCCCACCGTCTTCGCAATGCCCTTGCCGACCGCCTTGCCCGCTGGGCTTGCTCTGGCCAGGGACGTCGTGGTAGCGGATCTTCGTGAATGCCGGCTTCAGCCACACCCACTTCCCGCCAACCCGCGCCCTTTTCTTCTTGTGCACGACCCAGTCGTGCAAGACGCCATCGACTTTCATCTTGTAGGACCTCGCCCCGTCCGTGTGGAGGATGACGCGGCGGTGCTTTAGCCACTTGGACGCCATGGGCGCCCAATCCCTCTTCCGAATCGGGCCAGGGCCAGGCGCCCTACGTTTGGCCTTCTCTGGCTTCAACCTGAAGAGGACCAAGGACCTGGGGTGCCCCCGCTGCACGATGCCGCCCCACTGCTCCCAGATGATGGGCTTCTGCGTGCGGGGGCCAGCGTTCGGGTCCTCGCCCTTCGCCACGTCGACCTCGTCCGCCTCCACGTCCGCCCACTCGAGCGCGTTGCCGTCCTGGTCATGGCCAAGGGAGATGTTCCTCTCGTGGGAGTTGACGTACTTGGCGCGGGCTGCATACAGCGCAGAGTAAATGCCCTCTGTCATCTTGTGGTTGTTCTTCAACAAGAGGCGGGCGGACGTCTGCGAGCACTGGGCCACGGCGCAGAACAGCACGGCGGCCTGGTCCGCCAAGCGCCCCCCCGACGACCCCGTGCCGCATTTGAAGATAGGGTGGAAGGCGTGCGGCATGAGGAAGCGTCGGCAGCAGTCGCTCGAGCATTTGTGGGTCCACCCGCCCTTCTTCTTGCCATGGTCCTTCAAGGGGCCCAGCTTGCCGATCTGGCAGTAGGGGCACTTCGCGCCCTTCCACTCAGGCAAGACCTTGTCCTTCTTCAAGCGTTCGATCACCTGCTTGGTCGTCGCGTTCACGAAGTCCTTCAAGCACCGAGCCCATGCTGCCCTGTCGAGGCGCGACCTGACCGAGGAAGACCCGTGGCGCGTGTATGGGACGTTCTTCGGTTTGCGCAGGAGTGAGCTCTTCTTCGCCTTCTTCATGGGCACGGGCCGCATGGCCATGCGAGCCTTTCCGCGCTTGGCGACTGGCCATGGCTTACCCATGGGCGACGCGCGGGGTGGCGGCCGCCTGGCTGCCGACGGGGCTGGCGGGCGGGCTCGGTGGCTTTCTCACACTTGAGCCAAGAACGACAGGGTTCGAATCGACCGAGTGGTGGCAGTGGAAGACGGCAGGTTGAAGACTACACGTGCGATCGCCCACAGAACCCGCTGAGGATGATGCTGTTTCGCACAGTTCACAACCGTCGTAAACAATATGCGTATCCGCGCACATTTCGCATGGGCATTCCTATGTCACTCGCCCAACATATCGCAACGCGGAAGGCATCTACATCTGGAAAGCGAACAAGCATATACATCAATGCATTCATATCAGCTCGCTCCAGCCGTCATAAACAACATGCGTCGCCGCGCACCTTTCGCCTGTGCGTTCCCGCGTCACTTGCCAGGCCAGCTACCGCTGGATCAGTCCGTCTGGTCACCCAGAAGCTGGCTCGCGCCGCCAACGCGCTCCGCCTCGATGCCATCGAGGAGCGTCTCCATTTCGGCATCCAAGTCGACGCCATCGTCGTCCACCACGAGGGTCTCGCCGTGTGCCTGCGCCACAATGGATGCGAAAATCGCCTGCTGCTCCTGGATGTCCACGGGGGAGAGCGGCCCGCCGCAGGCCAGACCCGTCTTCCTGGTCTTCCGCGGCGGAGTTACCAGGTTCTCGTGCGCGCCGTGGTGGGCCTTGGCTAGGCTGCGAAAGATCGCCACCTGCTCCCGATGGTCCTCATCCGAGAGCGCACCGTGGCAGCCGACGATCGGGGGCTGCTTGGCGGGCGCGGGGTCCGCGGGCGCAGCCGCGCCACTCGGCGCCCCCACGTCGCCGCTCGATCCAGGAGCAGCACCCGCCTGCCACGGCACCATCATGAGCGTGTCGGCCTCGGCGTTGATGATCTCCTTCACGCGGACGTCCCGCGCGGCCGTCAGCTGTCTGGGGGGCGTCGGCTCGGGCTCCCCCATGCCGCCGCCGAAGCCGAACACGTCCTCCTCGTCCGCGGAGACGGCCCGCGCGTCGGCGCCGCCGCCGCCGCGGTCGGACATCCCGCCGTCGTTGGGCGCGGTATCCACGCCGCCCGCCACGCCTGCCTCCCGCGGCGCCGCGGCACCGGCTGGGGCGCTGCTCGCGGCGGCGGCGCCAACGGCGCCGTCCCCGCCACCGTCGCCCGCGCCCGCTGCTGCGCGCGACTCGGCCATGAGCTGGAGCACCTCCTTCTTCTCAAAGGCGAGGAGCCTGTCGTACTCCTCCTGGTCGCGGCGCTTCTTGTGCCTGAGGAACCGCATCAAGATCTTGCCCGCCTCGGCCGTGATGTAGCTGCTCATGAGGGGCAACTTCTCAACGACCGAGTCCTTGCCAGCGGGCCTGAAGAAGAACGAGTGCTGCGTGTTCAGGGCGACGTTGCACCGCTTGAGCATGGCCCCTAAGTTGCTCTCGGACATACCCTTAGGGAAGGCGGGCCGAATCATGTCCACCAAGATGGCAGTGGTCCGCTTTGCAGCATCGGGCGACGTCGCCGCGAGCCCCCACTCCTCGCCATTTGGTTCAGCGCTGGCATTGTATTTCGATGTCACCGCCAACCCTGGGAAAGACGAAGCGCGGCGACCGACGCGCAGGAAATTCGCTTCCCTGGGAAAAGCCAACAAAATCTGACAGCCAAACTCGAGAAACCTGGCTGGCCCCGACGCTTCGACTTCGCCAGCCGCCTCGCTTGGCCGCGCGCGAACTTCGCGGCCCCCCAGCGCACGTAGGTCATGGCCTCAGCCTGCGTGGGGTCAAAGAAGGCCTTGAGGACGCGAGGCCGCTGATCTGCGAGGTCGCCGTCATCGAAGATGCAGGGCGCCCAGGGCTCCCCGACCTCCCCGCGGAAGAAGTCCATCTCTGCGGATACCCGAACAGCAGCCTTGGCACGACCTGGGTGGCGTTCATTAGCGACGTCTGCATTGTGCCTCGCAGTCGCCATGGCACAGATGTACATGAAGGGTGTCTTCCCGAAGCCAGCCTCCCCGATCGTAAGCAGCGTGTTCCCCATCAGCGTATTCAAGATCCTGTTCGTCATCGGCTGGTACTCCTTGCGGATGTCTGGCTTCAGGAGCGGGTAGTAGTCCTCCTTGGTCGCGAAATGGTCGCGGTCCGCGATGCACTTCATCAAGCTGTTCACGAACTCCCGCTTCATGTTGTAGATGGGGGAGTCAGGGTCCACGTATTGGTGCTCCAACCACAGGACCCTCTGGCCGTCGAAATTTCCGCGGGGGGCCTCCGCCTGCACGAAATCCCACGCTCTGTCGAGGGCGGCCTTCTTCTCCGCGACCTCGCCAGCGTCGATGTCCGCAACTGCCTTAGGCTTCGGCAGCCCCCAATAGCGGAACAACAACCCACCCATCGCCTCCAATGCCACCTGCATCGTCCGCACAGTGTTGAAGGTGTCGGGGCGGTAGTCCAAGACGCACGGGTCGCCCTCGACGATCTTCTCGAGGATTGCCGCCATCGGCTCTCCGCCGCCGAGGAACGTGAACACCTTCACCACCAAGTAGCCGTCGTCAGGCATGGACTTGGACACGTGCATGCTCATCACGCAGGGGATCTCGTTCTGGCCAGCATCGGAAATTCCCAATGGCGGGGGCAAGGCGTTGTACCGACCCTCGGCCATGGCCTCTTTGACAACATCCCAGTTGACGCCCGAGAGGTCGCCGCAATTCGCGATGACGTCGATGAAGCCCTTGATGGGGCGCCGCGCGGAATAGCGCCACTGCTTGATGGGGAGGTCCCAGACGACGGCAGCACCAGCCTTGTCAACGTTCCCCACAACGTCGGGCTTCGCAAGGACCTCGAGAACGGGCATGGTCTTCGCCTTGTCCCAGACTGCCACCATCACGTCGTTGGTGTGCCCCTCTTTTCCCATGGACACCCCGAAAGACTTCATGCCGCAGGCGGGCAGGTTGGCGGCCTCCATCGGAAATGCCCTCGGCATCGCGGACGGCGCGGAGGTGCGCGAGGTGGCGAGCGAGCGAGGCGACCGATGTTTGAGCCTAAACGCGCGCGGCATTACTGGCGGGGGGGAAAGCGAGAGGGGGAAGGGGGGCGGCATTCGGGGCGATCGCAAGCAGGGCGAAAAGAGTGGGAAACGCCTGGCCGCCAGAAGAAATGGATTCACAATCGCTTCAAAATCACAGCTTTTCATGCCGAACTCCGAGCAGGTGCGCTTCAAACCTCCATCACATAACCAATATATAAATGTGCGGGGCAAACGCCATGCCCTCACACCCCGCCCGCGCCTCAGAGACGGCGGCGCGCCGACGCGCGCAGGCCGAACGACGGGCCCACGTGCATTCGGTTGGAGGGCTGGTCGCCGTCGGCATCGAACAGCACATCGCGGTGGCGGGGCAACGAGAGCGACGCCATCACCATCCTCTCCATGAACCCCCAGGTTGTCGACCACGGCACCTCCGCCGTATGGGTCCATCGTGGGAAATCGCGGCACGTGAACGTCACAATGCACGTGCGGTCCTCAGTACCCACCGCAGGGCGACATCGCGCATCGCAGACGTGCCAGCCACTATCCGCTGCAGATCGATCGGGCCGATCGCAACGAGCATCGTCGATCTGCAACTGACCGCGTCTGACCGATGTGGCAGATCGCAGACGGGGAAAGATCTCGCGATCGCGGCTGGCGAGGCGAGCGCGCGATCGTCGTGGCCGATGCAAGTGGCCACAACCTCGGCGTACATGTACGGGCGGACGATCACATAATCGAACGCGGGATCGTTCGACTCCCACATTGCCGTGGAAGCCGGGAGCAAAGAACTGGTTGCCGCTGTCCCGCACTTCAATGTTCGCGGGCCACACGCACACGTTGAACCGATCCTGGGGCAAAAGCAAAGGTGCTTCCTCATTGCCGAAATCAGGAGATGGTCGGTGGCGGGAGAGGGGCCATCCAAAAACTTAGTTACCCCCCGCCCTCAAGTCCTCCCCATCAGCCAAGCGCTGAGCCTGCGTGCGCCCCACCCTGCGCCGCGCCGCGTCTGGCGGCAAGACGTGGCCAACGTGGCCAGGCATGGCGCGCGGCACGAAGGCGCACTCGAAAGCCATGGGTAGAAGACTACCGCGGAGAACTTTGAGGGGGTTTGAGCACCCTGCGGAGGCCTGAGCGCTAGCGGCAACGGGAGGCACCAGCAGAAGCAGCAGCAGCTCTTTCTCTCTCTCTCTCTCTCTTTCTCTCTCTCTCGCTCTCTGTGTTTTTATGTGGCTACAAGGGCATCCATTTTTTGGATGCCCTCATTCTTGCAGGGGGGCTCTGCTGGTTTCTGTACGCCGCCGCTGGCGTGCCGTTCCTGCGCTCTGTCGCTGCTTCTGTCTGCCTTGTAACATGAGCAGCGCCGTCAGCGCCAGACGCACCAGCTGCAGCACCGCCATCAGCAACAGCACCAACAGCATCGCCGCCAGGATCACAAGCTGCACCATCAGCACCGACAGCGCCACCAGCAGCACCACCACCAGCAACAGCACCATCAGCAGCACCGTCAGGATCACAATTGCTTCGGTGACGTTTGAAACATTATGCGGCATG